GAGCAGCGAGCTCAACGTCATCGACTTGGTCGGTCGCAACTACACGCAGGTTAATCGAGTTCGGTAATTGCACTGAGTCAATCTCGGTGCGAGAAAGTGCATCAGCTACCTGATTATCAACGCCTCGAATATGGCGTATGTCGGAGGTAAACTGTGACACGTAATCGAGTTGCCGCGCTTCCCTAGGGGAATGTCGATCGGGCGATGTCTTGAGTGCGAAGGTAAGAGGCTTGTGGTCTGTAAAAACAAAAAAATCACGCCCCTCTAAGAAGTATCGGAAATGGCGTATTCCGAGGTAAATGGCTAGCAGCTCTCGACCAAAGGTACTATACCTAGTCTCGGGAGGCTTGAGGCGGCGAGAAAAGAACGCAAGCGGTCGCCACTCCCCTTCATGGAGTTGCTGTAACACACCACCTACGGCGAGATCGGAAGCGTCTACCGCGAGGCTTGTAGGTAGCTCAACAGACGGGTATGTAAGCATCGTGACGTTCGCGAGGTCCTCTTTGACAGCCGCGAAAGCAGAGTCGCACACAGGGGACCAATCTAACGCCTTTCGAGAGCGCTTAGGTTGCTTGCGCAGCAAATCAGTCAAGGCGGCCAGCGAGGATGCGCACTTAGGCATAAATCGGCGGTAAAAATTAACCATGCCTAAGAACCGGCGCAGCTGGCGTAGCGAGGTAGGGCGCGGAAATTTGCGAATTACCACGACCTTGTCATCCATCGGGGAGACGCCCTGGGCAGTCACATGGTGCCCTAGAAAGTCTAGTGCTTCGACTCCAAACTGGCATTTGTCAGGATGCACTACTACTCCATAATCACGGAGGCTTGTGAACAGCTGGCGCAAATGAGTCTCGTGCTGTTCGGGATTCTCGCTGGCAACAAGAATATCATCAAGATACACGAATACAAATGGCAGGTCACGGACGACCCTATCAATAAACCTTTGAAAGGTTTGCGCCGCGTTGCGTAGTCCGAATGGCATGCGTCGGAAATGGAATAACCCAAAAGGGGTTGTCAGCGCGGTCTTCTTCACATCATCAGGGTGTACGGGGATCTGATGATATGCGCGCACTAAGTCAACTTTGGAAAATACGCACTTGTCTCGCAACTGTGCGGCAAAGTCGTGAAGGTGCGGAATGGGATAGCGATCCGGGACGGTCACGCGATTAAGAGCGCGGTAATCGCCACATGGTCGCCAACCGCCTGACTTCTTTGGCACCATGTGGAGCGGCGACGCCCATGAACTGTCTGAGGGCTCGACAATGCCTAAATCGAGTAACCGGCCAAACTCGTCTTTAGCGATCTTGTGTTTGTCCGGCGCTAAGCGTCGAGGTCGTGCCGAAACTGGTGGGCCGGTTGTGAGTATTCTATGTGTGACGTCATGTTTCAACGGACAGTTCTTAAACATGGGCCGAGTTACTTCCGTGAACTCGGCAAGTAAGCGTTTGTAGACAGAATCGGAGTCTACTTGCACTATTGTGAGATTCAGCGACGGTAAGTCGGAGGCGATGCCATGTACGGACAGACTAGTGGTGGCATCCCAAAGTCGGTTTGTGCGCAAATCCACTAGTAAGCCGTAATGCCTCAAAAAATCTGCGCCGAGGATAGGCTGCGAAACATCGGCCAATATGAATGACCACTTAAACGAACGCCGCAGCCCAATACACACTGTGAGCTCACGCTGCCCATATGTGCATATGCGCGTCTTGTTTGCAGCCTGCAAAACGAGTGGCATAAGGTGCCTCTTATCAGCGGTGTTGGCAGGAATTACGCTTACCGCGGCACCCGTATCGACCAAAAATCGTGTCCCAGAATCTCTATCTGTGACATAGAACAAGCGACCGTCACGAAGAGGGCCAGTGAGGGGTGTCGCGCCCACCTCCTGGCCTAGTTGTTTTCCGCCGGCTTGCTATATGTGCATGGCGGGCGGCACTGGTGAGCCTTGTCACCCCACTTCTCATGATACCAGCAAACTTCAGAAGTGCTCGCTGATTTATAGCCGGATGAGTCGCGCTTCCTGTTGCTGCTCATGCTGCTGCTTCGGTTCCGCATGCAACCGATAGTGGCGGTCAATTCCTTGACCAATTTCGTGAGCGCAGCAACTTGGTGCTGAAGAGTATTGGGTTCAGTCATGACGCCGCGCCACGCCCACTGTTCACACAACTAAATTCAATGTATCAGTAAGAAATGTGATTATCTAATGGTAAAAAAAAAATATTAATAAGCAAAGGTAATCTAACTAAATGTTTCTTATCTCAGGGGGATCACGTCGGGGTCACCAATTTAGAAAACTACATGGGGTATGGACTATGTTGCGTGTTAACTAGTAATCCCACATAATTCCCTTTTTTAATTAAACTACTAAAAAGCAGTATCCCTCCAGACAAGAAAACACTTAATAAATGATCACATCCAGACAAATTGATTATGGTTAAAAACTGGTTCTATATTCTATAATTTCACATAAGATACAATGATTACAGAATTATCAGAAACCTCTTCTGTCTATCTCAACAGTGACAGACAATTAAACTATCACTAGGCCCTTGGTAGTTACTATTAATAATCAAACATAGATAACTTCCAACAGCACATTAATGTAAAGGTGACTCAACTTAGTCACTATGGTATTAATGATTACCGCTGAATACAAGTCTCGAAATATCAGGAGTCTAGCTGTTCAGTACAACTTAAAACAGTACTAAAACAAGTCAGTTAAATATCATTCCCACTGCATGAATAATAACAGTCAAGAAAATACTACTCAAATCTAAGCTAGACAGCGTTTAGATTTACTTACATACTACATAGGCACGAAATATTGTGGTTCAAGAAACCGCTAAACAAATCTCTACTTGTGTATGTGTACGGAATGCACAACACGAGAATACAACAATATATCGGTGGATCTAGACTATAGCAGATCCAGATCAGTAGACCAGGCATAGGCCTAGAACTAGTGCAATAATAAACATGTAAAATATGTGTTAGTAAGCGTACGCACTCAACAACAGGCACTCAGTCAGTCAAAATAAGGCCTCACAATGATAAACAATGTAAAGCATAAATCACAATATAATTAACGTTACGTGAGTCATTGGAGTTGAATTCAAAGTAGATCTTCTTCAAGTTCTAGGTAGATGTAGAAACTAGCTAGTCGAAAACAGTGGTCGACGAGCTGGTTGTCGATCGCGTAGGATATGCAGACGATGATCGACGCTAGGTGAATACCACGATGATGAAGACGATGTTGAAGACAATGATGATGACAATGATGAAGACGACGCTGGTGAAGACAGCGATGATGAAGTCGACGATGAAGACGACGCTGGTGAAGACAGCGATGATGAAGACAACGGTGATGAAGACAACGATGATGAATCAGTTAACAGATGAATACAATGATGATGCAGTCAATGTCAATAGATCAACTTCAGTGACTTGCGATGCAGGTCGAAGAATCAAATGTCGAGACAATATATATGAAGTCGATGATAAAAGGTTGTCAAACAATAATGCAGGTGAGAAAAACGTTAGATCATATTAAATGTTCTATTCTCACTGCTGGTGAATTAAAGTGTCGTCAATGTTGAACATCGAGAGAGTCAAAATATATCTTGCAAAACGTACAAGATGTAAATAGGTGAGCACGTCCACCGGGAATGGTCCGGGGAGCGCGTCCGGGGACGTAGCAGTTCAATCCTCGTTGGATACAATTTTCTAGGTACAAATATCAACACAATAACAGCATGTGTGTATACCAATATTAAAACAGCTCACTGATTCCCGCACAGGAAAATCAGAAGAGCGCCAATCAACTACAGCGCGATTGGTTCAAAACAAGCGCACATGTATGTTAATAAGGCACGTGATCTAAATACTTATGAATAAATACGCGTACATCTATGTTAATTGGTCATGTGATCAAAATACTAATGAATAAACATCGTTATATAATAAATCGAGTTAAAACCAGTTCTGAGGACATGGCGTAATACCAAATCCTCGAACTCTCAATGACTTCTAAAGCGGCCATTTTGGATTAAAAACACAATATGTATACCAGTGAATTATAAATGAATGCACTGTAACATTTGTCGCTACAAACTACTTACCGGTAGTCTGAATTTATGAATCGAATTTTAGTCTGCATGTTGAACTATCCCATTTGTTGTTACCTATGTCCAAGTTAAATGTTCTACTCTGTACCCATCTGTATCTTATTGATGTTTATAATGTGTAATCTTGTACTGACATGCAAATGAAACAAATTTCCAATCATTGGACAATAAATTTGAATATGAATATGAATATGAAAGTGTGACAGAATGGTCACAAAAATGAAACAAGTCATAAGCTGTCAGCATTTTTTTTAATGCCTTCATATTTTTCTCATTAATGCTTAGTTTAGTTGGGTGGTCTTGTATATTCTCTGAAAGCTGTCTAAAAATGATGAATATTTAGTAAGGACAAATATTATTTGATGTTCAGAAAAAAAAGGAAAGAAAATAGGAAGAGAGAGTGAGATATAGAGAGAAACAGAGAGAGAGAGATAGAGAGAGAGGGGGGGGGGGGGAGGGGGCATTTATTTAGAGATATACTTAGTATATCATATGGTGGTACAACTACAAACTATAGAGAAGTACTTTCGTTAAGGAATTAGCATTATGATTTATCATACATTTCGAGCATATATAGCAGAGTCAACAAGCAGAATTTGTGTATTACTTAAAAAGCTTATAGGCCTATTGTTAAATTGTTTTGATCCCCAAAGTTGGGATGGTGGGGGAAATGCATGATGCCCCATCACTAAAGTAGGGGGGGGGTCAGGATATGCCCCGTCCCCTGTCATTTGACACTGTCTTGCCATACCATCAAATCAAAATATCATGTTCAAGAGGTTTTTTTTTTTTATATCTACATCGCCACACATGCACCGCAAGATGCGCGAACTCGAGACGAGTGCAAGCGATGTTGCCTTGGTAACCCGCGGCGACGCTGCATGCTGCATCGCAGGTGCATGATAGTTTCGCTAGGTCTAGGGAAAGCCGAAGAACTTTACAAGAACATGTAAATATTGATCTTATTAATGTTTCAGAAATGTTCATAGCCTATCAATGTGAATATTAGGATACAGGTGATGTGTGATTAATATTTATTCTGTGTTCACTTGCTACAAAGCCTACAAGAAACAAACAATCATTGTTTACTTTTGGGCACTTGCATGCATGTTCATTGCAAGTGTCAGCGCGCCTCGGAACTCGTTTTGCCCGGAGCTGTAGGCACAGTTATCTGTGAATTCCCGTCTGGCAATACGCATGGTGCTAGCTGAGCATTGGCAGCTGCAAGCTGCCGTTGAAGGTGTTGGACATTATGGAACTCACTTGGTCACTTTACCTTTGATTTACATTGACTTGCCTTGGGTATATGGTATCATATACCTCTGATATTTAGACTTACATGCAGTTATAGACTACTAGTACTACTTTAATTTGTTGTAGCTACAATTAGTGATTATCATATTTTGAATGCTTCGCCTTCGACCCTTCGTGATGTTTACCAATTAAGCTAGTTCTTGTTATTAAATTGCCATGGCGGGCCAATTTGGTCTTGTTTAAATAGTAAAACTCAGCTACCCAAATACACTGAGTCAACTATCTGCATGAATCTCGACTCTAATTCTAAACCGGAAGGAGGCAGATGCAACCAAACAAGAAGAATAACTGAGGGGAGAGTATTGATATTATTATTTTAAAATAATGAACTGCAAACTTATTAATTCATTCACACCTAGATCTATTGACCTAGCAATTTCATTCTAGGAGAAATGTGAGCCATAATTTCTTGTATTTTGCATATCCCTAGGCTATAGGACCCTAAAGTTCCTAGCCTGGCCAGACTCGCCGGCATCGAAAGCGACCTGTAGCTGTATTTAGCAAAACCTTGGACTATTTTAGTTGTTTGCATTTTACTAGATATCTGTTGCAGACCCATGCACACTTTATATCAATGAATTGATTGGGACAAAATGTTTATCAGCTGACGTGACCCTTGCTGTTGATTAATACACTATTTTAGTACCTAAATATGCATAATTTTTTTTGCTTCTCATGTTCAGGTGCCACATGTTAACGAAAATGATGGAATCCACGTGAGGATTGTCGCCAACTGTGCTGGAGCCTAAAAGCACCATGGAAGCAGAAGCTCAACCTAGTGTGGTTGATGGGTCAGAGGTCAAGGATGAGGTCAAAGGTGAAGAGGTGACAGACGATGTGGAAGTGACCTTAGAGCAACGTGTTAGTGGAGATGAGGATGTAAAGACAGCTGAAGATGCAGGAGTAAGTGAAGATCAAACCACGCTGCAAGGTGATAAGGGAGCAGGGGACTCTCATCCAAATGAAGAGACTGAGATAACTGCAGAACAAGCCGAGAGAGACATACATGTAGATGGAAATGAAAGGGAAGGTGAACGGGATGATGCAAATGATGAGGGAGAAACTGAGGTGAAAAGTGAGGACAAGTTAGAGCAAGGAGAAATCCATATAGCAGATGAGCTGAGAAGGTCAAGGAAGGAAGATGAGGGGGATGAGGTAGTGTCTTCTAAAGTGACCACAGTGTCCTTTGCAAGTGAAGTCCAAGTCCTGAATGAAGATGAGCTTGAGGAGCAGTGGACACCGACTGGAGGGGATGATGATGGTGGTGTGGATGCTGATAAGGGAGATGATGACACTGGAGGTATCGTTGAACCTGAGGACAACAAAACAGAGGCCGTTGGGAGCTCTACCAACATGGCAAGAGCAGAAGATAGACATCATTCAGAAGAAGAAGTTTCAGCAGCACAAGACAGCAATGAACTTGAAAGCATTCCTGGAGCTACACCTCAAGCAGGTGAGCAGGAGCAATCTGACTTGGATACTGCTGAAAATGTTGCTTCCATGGAGGAAGCAGTTCCTGATGTTGAGAAGGCTTCAGAAGAAGTTGACATAGTCACGACAGAGCAGGGTCAAGCGGTTGAAGAAGAGCAGCCTCTTCCAGAGACAGCACCTTCCGGGGATGCGAGAGTGGTCACAGCTGAGCAGAATCTGGAGGCCAAACAAGGAGAAGAGGATGGAGATGAGATATTCGATGATATCCCTGTACTCCAAGCTATGGAAGAAACACGGAAAGAAACGGTCCATGAATATGAGGAAGTTGTCCATAGAAGTGTAAACTCGAGTGCTCCTCAGATTACCCTGGAAGCAACTGTGGAGGACAACACAGAGCAGGTTATTGCCGAGGTTGAAGGAACAGAGGAAGGAGAAGAGACTGAAACACATGAGAATGTTCCTGTTCTTCAATCCGAAGAGGTCGAGGCTGAGAATGCTTTTGTTGAAGCAGAAGCAGGTCTTCTAGCAGGTGCTCCTGAGGATGTTGTGGAAGCAACAGTAATGGAAGAAGCTACTAGTCAGGAACACCATGAATCAGGTAGCCAAGAGGCTGAAGATAATGTGTTGGGAGTAGAGGTTCATATGGATGGTAACGGTGATCAACAAGAAAAACTGGACGATGGAAAAGATGGAGCAGTGGACAGTCATATAGAACTTCACACGGATGATGCTTTACAGGACGAAAATACAAATTTTGAGGAAAACCAGGATGAAAATTATACGCGAGACCTAACATATCCTTCAGAGTCTATCCCATATGAGACAGATCCCAACTTGTCTTCGGTTAACCAAGAAGATGATCCAACAACTGGTAACTACTCAGAGTATCAACAACAACAACCGATATTAGCGAGTGATTTTGATCCGCTGCCTCCTATAGAGCCAGAGATGGTTAGGCACGATATTCTCCAACTACAAGAGGAGCGAAGGATTGAAGGTCTCAGTCCCATTGAACTCTTGACCCAAGCCAACCAAGCTCATGGAATATTACCATCCCCTCTCCGATGTGAGTACCTTATCTACCTCTGTCTTCTCATAATCTTAGGTGTAGGACTAATAATGCAAGAATTGAAAGTTACTGGGAATATTGTCCTGAGCTTAAAATAGAAACAAAACCTTCAAACCTTTGCCTGCTCTTCTGACACATGGAAATTGTGTTTTTTGACATGTCTTCAAGCTTACTTTGGAGCACAGACTAAAATGAGAAACATGCTAACATTAATTAAAAAAGAAAACATGTTATTATTGGAAGTATTCATTAAGGCAGAGTGCTTTTGTGTAAATATACTTTACATTTTGCGATGACTTTTTCAAGAAGTTTAACTTAGCAAAGTACTTTCTCAGCCCCCAAAATCAAATACGGTAAACAAAAACTTATTAGTCAGCCATGTTGCCACTAATTTTTTTTTTTTAATTCTTAGGATACATACCGGGTACCCTTTTATTTTCCCATTGCTTTTTGTAAGAATTTCAATTCTGTCGGCCAGTTAGGCCTGTTTAGCTATAGCAAATTCTTAAGACTTGTGAGGGAATATGCATTAAATCCTTACACAAATCATGTATTTAGGATTTCAGAACTCTATACACGCATTCAATCTTCCTACTTTTTAAAAACAAGCTCTAAACAAGCTTTCTTTAAATTCAAAGCTGTTGAGTCATGTCCTTTTATCTTTACCAGTTAAAGCCGGGGTAATGAAATGATTGCAGGGCCCTCGGGAAGAACAGTTTGAATACTGATGAGGCTACCCTGGGTATACAATTAGACATATTATCATTATTATTACTATTATTATTATTATTATCACCTGTTTGTTCCATAGCTCCACATCACCAGCAGCATCCTAGGAGTGGCTCAAACTCAAAGCTAGAATCAATGAGCCGGGCGACAAGTCTGTCCATGGTCCAGATTGCTCGCATCCCATCGCCGCCTGCTCACGTCAAGGCCCAGATGATGATAGATGAAGAGAGAAGGGCGTCGACTAGAACATCCAGTAGGCTGCCCCCGTCAGTGATGAAGATGTCTTCGGTCATGGTCAATGCTAGGTAACAATGCTAAATATTTTGTTTTAAAGCCCCAGTGCACCACCTTTGGCTAATTGCGCCCTCTATATAGCATACAATACCTAATCGGTGACCATTGGTCCCCCATGATCCTCTTTTTCTCATGTTAATTGAGAGCTGATTTGATGACATACATGTACATGTAACCACCTGTACAGTGACCATGCAGGGAGGTCTAATCCCTCTTGGCCAAACTAGTGCAAAGTTACATGATACAGTTTTTATGTGAGTTCCAGCTATCCTGAAATTGGGGAAAACTTGGAAAAATGTCTTCCCTTTTTTTCCAGTCATGGAGTTTGAGAAAGATCACTTACAACTGTAAATCAAGGCACAGTCAGGGAATTTCAGGCAGTTGTAGAATGAGGCTTCACACTTGTCTCATTTCACTAAATCTTTTCAAAAAAAATCTCCCTACTTTTAATTCAGGAAAAAGGCAGTGAAGAACAGAGATGCAAGTGTGTACTATGAGGAGAGACAGTTCCACAAAACCATAGGTAAGCTTACATTTGTAATGGATTTTTCCTTGCCTCTAACATTCTTTAATATTGTGGGAATTGATTATTTTTTTATTTAAAAAAAATAAATTATTCTGCTCTTGATAATGAGCCAGAAACTAGTTTTTTTTTGCATCCATTCAGCTCATGGGTCCATTAGGGTAACTATTGTATTGAAAATCTTCTTCTTAAAAAAAAAAAAAAATCTTTCTCTTGGTATGAAGAAGTAATCTTTTTGTACATTAGGGTAATAAAGTGCCAGATAAACATTCTGGGGAGTGAAAGTCTTAACTAATTGATCAGCCTTTTAATTTAGTTTCACCCCCCCCCCCCTGGTATCAGTAGTGATTATGATGTGCAAGAACAGTCTAGATAGGGATCCCATCAGGATAAGAAAGAAGAAGAAATCAATAGATAATACATGATGATTTGCAGTTGCATACGTTGCCGTAATCAGGGCTTCGATCGTTACAGAAATCTTAGCGTTTGATTGTACGATTGATTTTTGTGATTGATTTTCTTGGGAATGAAAGTCTTAACTATTAAATTGATCAGCATTTTAATAGCATCTATAGTGATCAATGCGGTCAGTCACAAAAATAAATTTACATTCGCTAAGATTTGTGTTACAGGGCCCGGGGCCCTGTTTCATTAAACTTGTTATCAATAACACGTAACAATAACTGTTATAAGCTACTGAAATCGTGGCATCTGATTGGCTGAGAGCAGATTTGTCATAGAAATTTATCATTTGTTATTGATAACAGGTTTTATGAAACAGGGCCCTGGTCATCTGTAGAAGCTTACCAAATACAAACTGTACTTGTTCCCATATCGCTTTATTGATAATCATCATTATCATCGATCATTATCATTAATCATCATTATCAACAAATTAAGTAAAGTATACAATAGTTTGAGAAACAAAGAAACAAATTGTATGTTCACACTGTATATACTGTACACACTTTTTACAAAGAAACCGGTACTAAACATTAAATCATCCACTATGTAATTTTGCTTTTGTGTTTGTTTGAAGGTCTGGACGAAGCCATCAACAGCCGACCCCCAATGCCCTTTGACCTTGATACGCCTGGACCATGTCTATACTCTCCCAGAAACAAGCCTTTGTATGAAGATAATGCTCCTGAATATTCCTTTGGCATGAAGTTTCCTGAGAGAGGTAAGCCCAGGATAGCTAGATCCTTTAATATTTCTTTTTTGTTTTGTTTCATGCTTTGTTAATTGTGTATCTACCGGTATTAATGATGATAATGCCCTTCAGCACTCAGCACATATTTTGTCTGTGTTTACATGGCTTGTAACTTAATTTTAATTTTTTTCTGGTGTGAAATCTACTCTTATAATAATATACGCCTATATAAAAAAAAATTAAAAAGAATATAAACTGTTTTTCTATGTAAAATGTGGAATAAATAAAACTTCAAACTTCAAAACTTCAATAGAATGTTTTTTTTTGTATTACTAATTTGTCTGTTCAGAGCCAGAAGGGTGTTTACCCTGTGTGTTGAAGTATAAAAGTAACCCCCTTCTAGCTCCAAATAGACTGTAAATTAATAGACAATAAAACTTGAGTTGTAAATCTCATGCTTGAGCTTGCTAATGCTAGTGGAGTACCGGTAGTTTCATCTTTGTCAAAGGACATGAATTCATCACAACTACTTTTTGGTGTTTTTCTCTTCAGCTGGTGGCGGACGCACAGCGTACTCCAAGACTTGGTTCAACAGTAACGACAACTACACGGTCAAGACAAGATTTGAAAGAAGGGTAAGTGTGATATCAAAGACTTTTGTGCCTTTTCACTACTGTATTTAAATCTAATCATGTTTACTACCTGACAAACTATTATTACATAAGCAGAATGAAATTTTTCGGTACTACTGTGTATGTGATCTTGGTCTTGTTTCATACATGCTAGCAATAACAAGTTACAATAAATGTTATAAGCTACTGAAATCATGGCATTTGATTGGCTGAGGGCAAATTTGCCATAGAAATTTAGCATTTGTTTCTGATAACAAGTTTTATGAAACAGGGCTCAGATTGTAAGATTCATTAGCGTGAACGTGTCTATAGAAACTTGTCTCTAGTGAGAAGCCAATTCATGTTGGTAGTGCAATGATATTTATGGGTTCTATAGTAGATATTGTTTTCATTAACTTAAAGTTATTAAAGTTTTCTAGTGAAACAAAAACACACACACTTGAAGGAGGTTTCATGGAAAAGATTTCTGTCACCAGAAATGATAAAAAAAAATTGAAAACAAAATCAATTTTGATTCAAATCACCAATTTAGTCACATTTTCTTCTTGAAGATAAAAAAACAATGAAATAGAATAAAAAAGAAAAGAAGATTGTTGGCCAGAAGTGAAGATTAACTTTTAAGTACCAGTTGCTTATTGTGCATACCCTGTACATTGGAATAAACAAACAAACAAACTAACTGTAATCACGGTAGAGGTTTACGGTACACCATGTGTAAAGTCCTAAAAGGACTAAGGAAAGTGGATAGAAATTAGAAGTGAAAATAGAAAGGCGAGAAAGTGGAGGTTGGAAGGAAGAGTATCTTTCAGAAGTGAGTATAGTCCTGAAAAGGACTGTAAACCAGAAAGTTGTAGATAGGATGAGAGGTTTGAGTTTCTATTTTCACTTCTAATTTCTATCCACTTTCCTTAGTCCTTCTAGGACTTTACACATGGTGTACCGTAAACCTCTACCGTGATTATTCATACCACCATGCAAACCTTCAAACATCAAACTAACTGTAGTTGAAAAAACGTTAAGTTTCACAGTACAAACAAATTGAATTTTACATTTGATTTATAAAGTGCATTTTGTGTGTTTGTATTGACAGTGGCCCTCACCCAACGCCTATGGTAAAGGGAGATCTATGGTTGGTAGGAAGGTTCCTGATAAGAAAGACTATCCCTCATTCAGCATGAGAGGAAAAACAAACTTCATCATCAACAAAAGAGGTAAGCTTAAAGGCATCGTTTAACTATGTCAATTCTGAGATTGTCTATGATATGGTGTAATATTGAAGACCTAAAAAATTCTGCTTCAAAATGATCATGAAGTGCCTCAAAAATAGTTTTTAAAATCTTTGAGGGACCGGTTTCATCTTACCGGTACTCATTTCCCCCCAATAGACTCTAGTGTTATAAAAACCACTATGAAAACAAATTCTGAAATTTCTAATTCCAATCATAGATATCTTGATAATCAGACAGGTGATTGGCTTGTAAAAGTCATGGGATTCATGTATGACCTAAAGGGTTATAATTATGATTGCAGCATGAACTAAATCCAGGATTTTTTTTAAGAATCTGAGGCCATGTTTAATACCCAATACCTTTAAATAGAAGGTTGAGTTCTGGGAAGAGGTGAAAAATAATTTGTGAGCATTACTCATTCTTATTATGCAAGTGTGGAAGAACATCAGTTAAGACATGTTCCCTGAAAAGCATGGCTCTTCAAATGCCTTCATATTCTAAATATGCATGTAACATCGTAAAAATCGGGGGGCCGGCTTTTTACGCCACATGTTTGTGTAGTCCCATATACATCTTTCTGTGCAAGTGTTTGTAACTTTTCCAAGACTTGGCCAAATTTCTTATCATTTTGATGATTCCAGAACCTTGCAATACACACACATTCTTATATGCTAGATGATCAACCTTTTCTGGTCGGTTCCACACCGTTTTCTTTCATAATGCAATCGCATGACCACAACTCAACTTCATCTTTAACAATGGAGGTTGGTTTGGATGCAACTGCTTCTTACAATAATCCTGAAGATTGATGCAGTTTATAAGATGGGTTCAAGAATGTAGCCAATGGCAAACCTGTATTCAAGTCACATGTTTCTCCTTTAATTTTTTTTTCGATCGTGCTCGGCTATGCACTTTTTGTGCAGCAGTGAGATGCTAGTTATGTGCAACACTATGCAAGCTCAATGCAGCGCTACTGTTAATCCACATATTGATGCTTCAAAGTTCAGAAGCGATGCAATACCGGTACTTGTAATTTCATATTTCAAGGACATTGATGATAAGCACACTGTGATGCGCATCATACAGCCTAACGGCAGGCGTGCAAAAACATGTTTATTTCATTAATATGGCATACTCGGTTCGACCCCTACCGTAGAGCTCTCCGAAAAGGCACATTTTCAAACGACAATATCTCCTTCATTTTATCACTTTTTTGCGCTCCGTTTTTCTGCAATATCATAGTAAATATCTGGAGTTACTTAATATTTAAGAATATTCATTATACAAATCCTGTAAATAATTCAATTTCCATGTTAATTTTTTTTTTTAACAAAGATGAAAACTTTGAAAACAACTCAATTTTTGACACATAGTTTCATTTTTGGCCTCAAATAAATTTGGTTTCAAAATTAGCACCACAATATTGGCTTTCCAGTGCACATAAAATTTAGTAATATCTGTACTATATCTTCTTATGTCTATTATTACCCTAGGGTCTGAGAATGAGCCTGGACCAGACCAGTACCACCGTCAGAGATCTGATCCCTTACTCTTCCGTCGAGCTCCAGCCTTCAGTATGGGGGCCAAGCTAGACCGGGGCAGGCTCTTTGGAGCACCTGGTAAGAACACTGTCTATCCTAAAATCAACTTTTTTTTTCATGCAAAACTTGGCCATCAATGATAAAGTACAGGATAAAGAGTTTAGCTTTGTACTTGCATGTACAGTTAACTAAATCATTTATACCCTTACCCAGTTTTATAATTTTGTAAGTATGTGAAAAATCGATTAGTCTCAATTTTGTAAATCTTTTTGTTCTTTCCCTATTATCATTGGTATATAATGCTGTTCAAGAAACAAAGGTTATCTTGTAATTGTTGCCACCCCCCCCCCCCCACTCCCCGTCGATTAAGAGCCCCGCTCCAAGTTACTCTGAAGTGCAGCTTTTGTTCAAAGTTGAATTATATGCTCACAAATTATCTGTTAAAGTAGAATTTGTGTTATACTCATCCTGCTTATTTAGAAATTTAAATTGCAATCTCCTCAATTTATTGGAAATCTTGATTTTGTAACAGCTGGCGATTGATCAAGTGTTTTATATGCTGTACACATTTCTGCAATTTGCCCATGTGGCTGCAAACAAATGTTTAAATAAACCATTACCGAACCATCTTCACCATCTTCACCAATGATTTACCTTTATTGCTCTAGTTCATGAATTCATTTTCAGTGCTTAATGTTTCGAGATTTGTTATGCTTTGCCTCAACAGAAATCACGCCAGCCCCAAACTACTACAACCCTCACACCAAGTACACCTCACGAAAGGTCACCTACCCTGCATTCACCATCTCTGGCATCAGAAAACCTAAAAGTCATGCACTGGGGCCACATGCCACACTCTAAGGGCTGGCCTGGAGGTGTCGTGGTACAGTGGTTCATTCGCTCGACTCTCAATCCAAGAGTTGAGGGTTCAAATCACCTACCCCGTTTACACCATCTCTGGCACCAGGAAGCCTAAAAGTCATGCACTGGGGCCTCATGCTACACTCTAGGGTGGTAAAGTGGTTCATTCACTTGACTCTTACTCTTTTCACACTGGTTTTTGGCTTTTCACACACGCTTTTGTTAGTCCCGTACTAGCGCCTATTCCGGAATAAGAAAATTCCTGCTGTTCTCACTGCATTTCGTTAACCCCGGATATCGTGAATGTTATGATTGGACATACTTCGCATCTGGCCAGCTGCGATACGCACCATTGCGTAGTACCGGACTATTTTTCGTTTCTGTTCTCTTTCATTTGCTTAGCACCGCAATTGCGGGGTTAGCAGGAGTTAGCACCACAATTGCGGAGTTAGCCCTGCTATTTTGCAGGGTTAGTTAACCCCGTACTATAGGTGGGGTTAGCCAACTTTAGCCCACTTTGGTAAAAACCAGTCTGAACAGAAAGTGGAATAGGCTTAACCCCGTACTATAGGTGGGGCTAAGACCCCCCTTAACCCCACCTATAGTACGGGGTTAAGCAAAATATTGCCAGTGTGAAAAGAGTATCTCAATCCAAGGGTCAAGGGTTTGAATCACCTACCCCGCCTTCACTATCACTGGCATCAGGAAACCATTCCTCAAATTTTCTTTGAGTGAGTCGAAACAATGAAGCAATGATATAGTTTTTCGTGCATTTCATTCATATCATAGTTGCAGTATTTTTCCTGTTAAGTATGGATCTAAAAGAGGCATTTTGTCTAAAAGCATGTGGTTTTAAAATATCTACACGATTTCAGTATATTTTTACACAAGCAATAAAGAGAGGCTGAACAAATACTGCTGAAAGGTTTTGCTTGGCATGTAAGCATGGAATACACAATTCTGGTGCATAATAGCCAGAGAGATTTGAAGCTAAGACAAGTTGGTTTAATTATGTCCTCCTTTTATATTGTCACATGATAATGATAACTAAAAATTATATTTGTGTACAATTTTAGGCAGACGTTGTTATTTGTAATGACCTTAGAGGCTTGTCAAAGATTTTTTTTTGGTTTATGTACGAATGTCTGAGGGTCTCCTCACATGGGGAATGCATATGATTAGACAGAAAATGTGTCGGCTTGGAGGAGTTTAAATTTTAAAAAAAAAATCTTTTGACGCTCTCCTTCAAGACATTAGCGAATCGGTGAAGCGAGATAAAGTCTCAGTGGAACATTATCCTGAACGAAATAGATTGATACTTTGGTATAGCTTGCAATATGGTACAATGTAGCCCGGATTTCAAATCAAATGTGTTTTTCTACCTTTTCGTTGCTTGCTCGGTTCAGTGTTTGCTGCAAAAATTCCTGTAGGTCTGCAATATCCTGCAAAGTCCTATGAGACTTTCTGATATCTTGCAAAATGCTGCATTATTCTATGATCAGTTCCTGTATAAACCTGACATATTTTCAAATGGAGAGAATAGACAAAATCATTAAGTATTATCCAGCTAGTCTACAAGTGGGGATACTGCTTACTTCAAAGGAAAATCCGAGACCCGGCCACATAGTCAAATCGACTTTAAAACTGACTCCAAACGGACCAAACTTTGGCCATTCAGGAATCAGAATGTCATGTTGGGCTAATAATGCTGGTCTGGTGTTGGTGTGACTGCTGAAGTATTTAGCCTTTTCATGTTCGCGGTAGAGACCTAGAGTCATTCATGCGCAACTTGTCTAGAGGGTTATTTGGACACATGCTCTTGCAGCAATTCCTCTGCATCCATTTCCTACAATACCAAATTCTTGAACTTAAACCATGAACCCAGCACCTTACCTAAAGCCCAATCGCTGCCGTAAACCTATATCTTTGACGAAATGAAGCCAGGAGCCAGTTGCCTGAGCAAATGTTGCATCACTTGTCAAAATAGGACAAACAATTGGTATCCATATGTGCATTTCAGTGTTTAATTCATTTTCACATGTTATCTGAGGTTGTGAAGATTGCTGTGATAACAGGGGGGGGGGGGGGGGGGGGGTTCACAAATACTAAGATTGACTGTAAGTTGGACTTACTATGGCAGGCCGTTCGTGCCACTGTTTGCTCTCACCATTATGAACTTTACATATTTTAGTTTCCTATAATAATGAATTGTCCAAAATTCTGTATATTTGTGACCATGATTTGTACGTCCTTTGAGAGACCAATGCCAGTTAATGGCAAGAGCATACAGTGGCATGAATGGCCTGCCATATAGTTAAGTCCAACTTAAAGTCGTTCTTAGTCTTTGTGTAACACCCCCAGGTCTGTTTTCATTCCCACCGAGCCGGAGAAGTTACTCTGATCAATATTGCATAATTGTGTCTTTATTTTAAAAAGGAATTCAACCTGAGATCACTTTTCTCCAATGACAAGTTTTCTGTCCTATATATGCTGTAAATTTCTCAGTTTTTATCAGTAGCCAAATGTACAGTGTTATTGTAAACAAAAATTGTGTAGTTAAGTGAACAATGTATATGTCCAAATATTCTCCGTCCAAATTTCGTCCAGAAACTGCTAATATTTCTATTTTTCAAGTGTGTCATTTTATATAAAGAGGCTTTATACTGTAAATATGACTGTATGATATGCAAATATAATATTGAATCTATTTGAAATCAAGACTGTAAGGTTTTCCTTCATTTCTTGCATTGTATGAATATGGGGTTTGATGTTGTCGCTAGAAATATACAGTTGAATTCATCATCTGGGTAGAGTTACAGAAGAGAAAAGAAGTTGCATATAATGAGGTGATAATGATGTTGATGATGTAAATGATTATGGCTATGATGATGGTGGTGTTAGTGCATGGTGGTTGTGATAGTGATGATGATAATGATGATGATGAAGGTGATGAGAATAAGCATGATAATGATAAAGATGTTAATATAATAGTTACAAAGAAGATGATAATGGTGATAATAGCAATGATGACAAGCATGAGCAGTGGCGATGCAATGATGCAATGATACTTATAGTGATATTATGACGAAGAAAGAGAAAAAGAAGATGATGATAATCGATGATGAACGTAATGACAGTGACGTAACGAGGAGGATGATGATGAAACTGATAGTGGTGATGATACAGAATTTAGTTCTGTTAATTATACAATATTTTGTATTAATTTCAATTAACTTTCAAATAACTTCGGTCAAGTATATAGCCAACATCATCGTTTCCCACTCACCTAAGGTTTGCAATACAAAAAAACCCTTCTCCTTCTTGCAAAGGTTACTAGTGTATCCGGAACTTTGTTGGAAGAAAAATCCCCCCTAGTTAGGGGCCAGGGGGCAGAGTTAAGTATACCTGAGCTCAGGGGCGGATCCAGGTGGGGGGGGGGGGGGACGGGCCACCACCCCTTGCAAAAAAGTTAAACATAAAGATGGTAACCAAAATTTTACCTTTTTGTTTTTTGCTCAAGGGGGGGGGGGGGGGGGGGGGAAGTAAAACAAGTAGTGCTCACCCCCCCCCCCCCCCCCCCCCCCCGCTTCTAAATATTTTATCACCAATTGGGGCATGCACCCACCCTCGCCGCCGGCTGGATCCGACCTAGACAGCAATAACCATCTGATTTGGGTCATTTCTTTAATAAAACTGACATTTGTTGTCATAATCGGAGGTCTAGTGGAGCCAGACGTAGTCTCAGTGGAACAACCGACGATTAGAGAGACTGAAGCTTTCGGTCTAGATCCGACCCTGCCTGAGATAACAGCTCCGCGTGATGACATAAATGGGGTGACTATATCAGATCCACCCAGTAAATCGGTTGGGCGGGGCGGAAATTTTCGTAATGTAATCAAATTTAATGCAAACATCTGACAAATAATTGAATTTCAATAGTCAGAATGCGAATCGCTTACATAAATTGTTGATAGGACAAACATTATGGCTTGCCCTACCTAGCTAGCTAACATCGCGAAATGTATGCAAATGCCTATTGCAAGGGAAATGGCAGACGCCATCATTATTTTGCAGGTCTGTCGTCATCTCGATACAAGTATGATTAAACTATACACAGGGAACAGTTCACAAATAGTTTACAAACTTGGGATGCTACCCCCCCCCCCCCCCGAGAGTATTGTTACCAACTACATGTATTGCATCCAACCGTAGCAGAATGCATTGTCGGAATGCACGTGTTACGTACGTGCAATAGTTGTTGCTATGTCGGACAAAAATGTGGAGCCTTGTTTAGTCACTGTTGTAGTACAGCATGAATAAATGTTTAGTTTATGAATTGTCTGTTTGCATAATGAGAAACAAATTAACTTCACAGACAATTTATGCACATCTTTGGAATATATAATAACGTCGTAATGGTGACGAGATGCGTAACCAAACTGTCGTCTAGATGTCTTTTCTTCCAAGATCAAATGAAACAGGTGCACACATTCTTTAGATAGCAATGTGACGCGACAAGCAGGCTGGCCACACGCCCAGTAAAACCATGTCGACTTTCTTTGATTCGCATGAATAATTATCATTTAAAGAAAAAGAAACATTCCACTTTTGGAATCGAAATCATTTGTGAAGCATCACATTTTTTTTTTTTTTTTTTTTTGTAAAATGAATTTATTGATAAATATATGCATTTGAACAAAACAAACAATCATACACAATCAATTGAAATAACATCGTAGCATCTTAGCATAGTTCAAATAAAACATGTTTCGTTTTCTTGAATAACAGTGTTTTCAAAAATGCATATCTTCTTTGTTTTACAGTTCCTTTCGATCTTTAATCGATTGTGGATTAGTCTTTTGAAAATACAAAGAATAGAGACTTCATGAAACATGAGTTTGCGATTTTCTGCTTGCATAAATGTTAAATAAACTGCGTATTTTGCATATATGATAAGAAAATTTAAACTTTTAAATATTTTGTTTTTCAATTTATAACCTTCAATTAAAACGAACTTGTCAAAAGAAAAATTAACATTGTAAAGTTTTCGAATTATGTCTCCAAATTTTAACCAAAACAATCTTGTGTGCTTGCACTTTACAAATAAATGGAGATTGTCGTGTAACTGATCATCATATAAACATAAGGGATTGTTACACAATTTCTATTTAAATAAATTATACCTATTTGGTAATAAGTTGTGTAATAACTTAAAATTGAATTCTGATATTTTGTTTTCTTTCATAGCTTGTAAATTAAACGACCATATGACTTTCCAGTCGATTTGCTCTGCACTATTTAACATTTCTTCCCATTTCTCTTCTATTGGAGGTCTAACAATTGAATGAATAGACAACGTAGAGTAAAAAAACTTCGACTTTCGTTTAGTGTTAACATTCATTAAAACATTTTTCATGACACCTTCATTTTCTTCTCGTGTCGCATCATATACATGTACCTGTTTTAACATATTCTGTTTCCAAACTTTGGGAATTGCATTTACTATGATATAATATTCTTGAAACAAAGAAGCATGTTTTTTCTCAAATCTTTCTTCAATTTCTCTCAAAGACATAAATCTAGAGTTTTTTACGACATCATTAATTTTCAAAAGGCCTACATCGAACCATTTTTTAATAAATAGTACATTTTTGTTGTGATCTCTTATATTTGAGTTAAACCATATGTTTTCACTTCTAACATTAGTACATTGTAAATCAATTGGCGTCTTACATTCTACTATCTCTTTAAAATCAAACCAAGTATATACCATATTCTTGTAATATTGGGGCATTTTTATATTCTTTAAACAAAACTTCATATCATCTTTTGTACATTTACTATTTAACACATATTTTAAATTGCCCACTTTTTAAAGAAACCATCAATTATCTTTTTCCACTTTGAGTTTTCGTGGGAGAAGTAGTGCAATATCCACTTTAATATAAAACTTTGTAACAGAGCATTCAAATCAACCATTTTTAATCCTCCATACTCATAACTCATACAAACCACTTTTCTTTTTATTTTGTGTTTTTTTCCATTCCACAAAAAAGTATACAGTAAAGAGTCAATGAGTTTCATTACATTTTCCGGCATGGAAATCATTTGAGCATTGAATATAATTTGAGAAACAAGAAATGATTTGATTATAGTTATTTTACCAGAAAAAGTTAAGCGCCTCGCTTTCCATAGACGTACTATATTTTCAATCTTTGATATTTTGGGTTTCCAATTAAGGTTTATTAGGTTTTGTTCATTTTTCCCAAAATGAACCCCTAATATTTTAACATCAGAATAGGTCCATGGAATGCCATAAATGTTTTCACCAGTGGTGTCTCCATTAATGTTAACTATGGAACTCTTTGATTTATTCAGCTCTAAACCTGAAAATAAACCGAAATGTTCTATCTGCTTTATAGCTTTCTTTAAAGATTTTGTGTCTTTAACAAAAATTGTTGCGTCGTCTGCAAATTGCAGTATCTTTATTTCGACTGAATCAAAAGGGTAATTCCTGTGATGTCTAGATCGTTTCTTATTTTAATAGCTAGTACCTCGACAGCGAGTATGAAAAGCAGGGCCGAGAGAGGGCACCCTTGGCGTACGCCTCTTGTTATGTTAATTTGTTCTGTTAACCAACCGTTTACATTGACACTGCTTTTAACATTTGTGTACAGAGTATTGACCCATCTGCAAAATTCATTTTTAAATCCAAATTTCCGTAAACATTTAAAGAGAAAATCCCAACTAAGACAATCAAATGCTTTTCTAAAATCTGTTAAAAATGCAAGTCCTTTGTCTGAGTAGTTTTGGACATAATAAAATATATCTTCGATTAATCTGATATTTTCAGCTAAACTTCTACCCTTGATGTACCCTACTTGATCATTGGAAATTAATGTGGGAATTACCTTCTGGAGTCTTTTAGTTAGGACTGATGCCGCAATCTTGTAATCATAATTAAGAAGTGAGATTGGTCTAAAATTTTCTAAATTAGTTTGATCACCTTTTTTGTGTAATAGCTTAATTATAGCTTGTCTTTGCGTGCTAGAAAGTTCATTATTTTCAAATCCTTCGTTTAGTGAGTTTACAAGCAAACATTTAACTTCTGTCCAAAAAAATTGATAAAACTCAATATTCAGGCCATCACTTCCAGGCGCTTTGTTTTTGGCAAACTCTGAAATAACTTGCTGGCATTCTTTTTCTGTTAATTGGCCTTCGCATAATTCTGCCGATTCTTCGGTCAATTCAGAATTGTGTAAATCAAATAAATATCCTTCTAAATCATGTTGTCTTTCTTTTTGACGATATAAGTTTGAATAAAATTGATGAACACATTTTCTTATATTTTGTTGCTCACTAAAAATTTTGCCTTTGTCGTTGCGTAGTTGCAAAATTGTACTTTTATCAAAATTTCTTTTTTCCAATGACATAAAATATTTAGAGTTTTTCTCTCCTTCTTCAAACCATTTGACTCTCGACCTGATTATTGAGCCTTTACATCTATGTTTGTATATTTGTTCTAGTTCTTCGGAAGTCTTTTCATATTCATTAATAGTTTCCTGCATTTTCTCACCGTTAAGTGTCCACATTTTTTCATTGATCTTTTGTAATTTCTCTTCTAAAAACGTGGAATCACTTTCTTTTGTTTTCTTACTTTTGGTATTTTTGGTGTTTTCTTACTTTTTGGCTTGATGACATAAATGGGGTGACTATATCAGATCCACCCAGTAAATCGGTTGGGCGGGGCGGAAATTTTCGTAATGTAATCAAATTTAATGCAAACATCTGACAAATAATGAATTTCAATAGTCAGAATGCGAATCGCTTACATAAATTGTTGATAGGACAAACATTATGGCTTGCCCTACCTAGCTAGCTAACATCGCGAAATGTATGCAAATGCCTATTGCAAGGGAAATGGCAGACGCCATCATTATTTTGCAGGTCTGTCGTCATCTCGATAGAAGTATGATTAAACTATACACAGGGAACAGTTCACAAATAGTTTACAAACTTGGGATGCTACCCCCCCCCCCCGAGAGTATTGTTACCAACTACATGTATTGCATCCAACCGTAGCAGAATGCATTGTCGGAATGCACGTGTTACGTACGTGCAATAGTTGTTGCTATGTCGGACACAAATGTGGAGCCTTGTTTAGTCACTGTTGTAGTACAGCATGAATAAATGTTTAGTTTATGAATTGTCTGTTTGCATAATGAGAAACAAATTAACTTCACAGACAATTTATGCACATCTTTGGAATATATAATAACGTCGTAATGGTGACGAGATGCGTAACCAAACTGTCGTCTAGATGTCTTTTCTTCCAAGATCAAATGAAACAGGTGCACACATTCTTTAGATAGCAATGTGACGCGACAAGCAGGCTGGCCACACGCCCAGTAAAACCATGTCGACTTTCTTTGATTCGCATGAATAATTATCATTTAAAGAAAAAGAAACATTCCACTTTTGGAATCGAAATCATTTGTGAAGCATCACATTGCGTTCATTACTTTCTACACGTCTAGGCGGGAAATAAAGCTTCAATTCTTGAGGACTTACTGTCATGTGTAGCAGTCTGTTTCGCCTGCTTCATATGTGTGCAGTTATCACTTTGTGTCTATAGGTCTAGAAACCCGACTTTACCCCGTAAATCCGTCGAATTAAACTTAAGTTGGTGTTACTCAGTGACTGTAGTCGAGATGAAGTTTCTCTCAATTTTCATCGTCCTCGTAGTCTGCGGCAACCACGTGACTACCGCTGCTCCAACGCCTAAAAATGACATAAGGCTAAGGGTAAGTTTTTAACAGATTTTTTCCTTGAGAAAACAAGAAATTATACCCCAAAAACAAAACAACACAGTTGCATTAGTTGCTACAAATTTTACTCGGTGCTAATAAACCTTTTTTTGGGGGTCAAAATAATTGCTAAGCTTGTCATTTTCAAGGCAACATTTTCATCTGTAAGAAAGAAAGAACGGAGTAAAAGAAAGGCATTTCCTTCTGAAATATTTCGACGCTTGCTATTACATTTTCTTCTATTAGTGATTTTTCATAGATTCAAAGATTTATTAGGGTAAAAAAAAAAAATGCAGCTAACCTTACATTTAGTAGGCCTAACAACTTAGATAAGGTTATGAATGACATTTTTTTAAACTACGATTTTGATAGGGCCTATAGAGTGGTGAAGTGTGACGTCATCAAAATCTATTTTTAGAATTTCTCAATTTTTTTCTTCATTTTCCGAAAGAGCCATCACAAATAATGTCCAAATGTCGAAAACCAATGTCCCATGGGAACTCTAGTGTTATATGCTCTGGCTCATAATGGTTAGGAGCCAGAGCATATAACACTGAGTTCCTATTGGAAATATATTTATTCAGATGGTCATATCTCAGCCAATACTTGACATATTAAATTGGTTTTCGACATTTTTGATGCTCTTTCGGAAAATGAAGAAAAAAAAAATCGAGAAATTCTAAAAATAGATTTGTATGACGTCCCAGCTTCAGTACTCTATTGCCTTTAAGATAATCATCGATCAATAAACTCCATTTTGAAATAAAAATGTATTATAACCACCAGGTTAAACTAAGTTAACTTGTGAATGTAAGAACGCGAGACACCATTACAAGGGGATGGCCAAATGCTTTAAAACTGCTGGAAGTTTTGCAGTCTTGTAAATGTCGATGGGTCAAAAATCGTTAATATATACTATGAATATGTCGGACAAAGAAAGCGGACAAAATATACAGTTCCTCGGGTAGAAAAAGGAACATCCCTTCACTGCTATTATGTAAAAAGTGAATATGCATGTGACACCTGTTCTACACATTTTTACATAATAGCAGTGAAGGGATGTTCCTTTGTCTGCCTGAGGAACTGTAAATTTTGTCCGCTTTCTTTGTCAGTGATGTTCATAGTGTATAAGTCAATTTAAATGATTTTATGCATGCAATAACTTAATTATTTTTAATATGTCACACAAAAAACCGGGCACAGAACACTCTTACTTTGTTGTCCCTTTCAACTAAATAATACATTGTGTTTAATTCTTATCGGGTCAATGTTTAATTTTTTTTCTATTTATCCTCTTTCGAGGGACTTTATTTGTTCATTTCATAAAATAACAGCTATTTACAACAGTGTTTAAATACAGAATCCATGCAGTTGTAACATATCATACATAGTACAGAACATGAAACTAATGTGACATAATCACTAACTAAAATAATGATAACATTTTTGTAACTTTTGTAACTTCGTTTGTATCGAATTTCTTTTGATTACATTTCATATTGAGATAGGTGCGAATATCCACCTTTAACTCTTTTATCAAATATACAGCATGTATCCTGTGCTTTTCACTTCCAAAACATTCTCTAATATAGTTTCTATAGATAATAAACTGAGCAAAGTTTAAAATAAGATTGACAAGATTCATTTCTCTTCTCTCTATTTCATAACCTATTAAAAGAATTTCTTCGTTCAAAAAGATTTTAAAATTAAACGAAGTATCAATTAATTTGGATACAATCTTCCAAAAAAGCAAAACCTTCTTGCAAGCCAGGAGAAGGTGGTTAGTTGTATCTGGAATCTTACATATATCACATAGATTATTATTATCGGGTCAATGTTTAATGGATTTTCAACAAAAAAAGAATGTGTTGGTCGATGGTGTCAAATGATTTTTACACAATTTTCTTGAAAGAAGAAAATTAAAAAAATGGTCACCAGATTCTAAAGTAAGGCGACAGTTTTTAAGATAAAAATAACGAAGTAACATAAATTGATAGTTAATATCATACGAATCCTCAACATTTTTGAGTGGGGAGGTTATGCCCCGCATCCCTTTGTTTTAGACATGGTATACGCTTTTATAGTCTAAAATGCTTTTGTAATGAATGCATTGCTAACAGCCACATAAAGCTCACGAGACCGACAAACTCTTTGCAATTAAAAGTGCCACAATTCTCATTTTTACATCTGATGTCAGATAGATAGGAGATACTGGCAAAAATACTGACTTCAGGGACCCGTTTCACAAAGCATTTTTTCAATGACAAATGACAAAAATCAGTGACAAATCTGCTGATAACCAATCAGAAGCAAGGAAGTCACTAGCTTAATAACAATATATGTCAGTTGGCACTGATGACAAGTTTTGTGAAATGGGACCCAGATGTAACTTTTTAATGCATGCTCCTTCTACTTTGTGACGTATTCATTAATCATGTAATTTTTCTACTGTCATTTTAAACTTCAGGATGACGTGCGTGCAGTCTTGAGGCATATACTACTCAAGTCTGACCAGACGACTCTTGACCAATGGCTTGGGCTGGACAGAGACTCTGAGGAAGATACCTCTACCACGAAGCCACTAGAACAGGAAGACGAACGGCTGACAACTCTGTTGACACTTATAACAGAAGGGCCAGAACTTTTTGAGATGCCGACACCAGCACCACAAAAGTTAATCATCCACCCTCTCTGCGTGGAACGACTGAATAACCCCTATCAGATCAAGGACATCAATGACATCCAGAATCCCCGCGACGTCATTGAGTACCTCATCTACCAGCTCTGCCTACCCACTGTCACCGCTGAGGACGTCCTAGCAGTATCAGACATCGTCGAACGTCTCTCTTCGCCGGACAGGATTCCGATAATAGGACTACCAAATCCTTTTGTCCCTGAAGTCCAAACGTTGGTCCCTGAAGTCCAAACGTTGAGCATTGACATTGACCTGTTGCCGGGACTAGAAGCTGACACAGATTTGGACAGCAGGCCGGTAATAGGACTACCGAACCCCTTTGTCCCTGAAGTCCAAACGTTGATCCCTGAAGTCCAAACGTTGGTCCCTGAAGTCCAAACGTTGATCCCTGAAGTCCAAACGTTGGTCCCTGAAGTCCAAACGTTGGCCATTGACATTGACCTGTTGCAGGGAGAGGCAGTCACAGATTCAGACCAGGAGCTTGATGACCAAGAGATGCCACGGACTCAGGTGAACGATTTCAATCCCGACATCAATGATGAAATCAATGACGACGGCATAACCACCATCGCAGATGACGAGAAGGTCACACAGCTCGAAGAATCAGTTAAGTAGTGAATTAATTTTGTCCATTGATGTAACCATGGTTGTGAATCCTTCATGAATTAACTTTTTGTCTTGTGCCCTGCATAACAGATATACGATCAATAGCATAGAGAAGAAAGCAATCCAATGTTTTAAAGTTCTTTGATACTACCTGCGCTATTTGTCTGTCCCTACAGCGTCTAATTTTGTCAAGTTATTTACATATCCTACTTTTGAAGTCAAAACAACTTTAAAAATTTGTCAACAATGTGTTCACGCCCCTTTGTAGGGCTGAAGGGCGTTTATGTAAAACTTTGTTGTATATCGTATACATAAATTCCATATCCTCTAAAATTGGTCCGACAGCCCCCCCCCCCCATATTCACAATGATCTGGTTACTACCCTGTTTCAGTTTGACATCCCTTGCATTATGTACATATTATCTAATACAATTTCATCACATGCCTTTTATTTCAGGATGACGATAACGGAATCCTGCGGAATTTCCTTCTGCAGGTCGACAGGACATTCACTACTTGGTTTCATATGAAAAGGCAGGACCAAGAGGAGGATGAAGATGAGGAGGGGGATACGGAGGATGTGAATATGTTCGAGGAACCTTTTCTGGCTCCAGAAGAGCCAGTCGTCTCTACAGCTCCGGCTTACCTGATGACTACATCGCTGCCTGTCACCGAAGAACCTCTTATTAATCCTCTCTGCAAAGATCGACTGAATAATCCGAACCAGATCGAAAACATTGCGGACGTCCAGAATCGCTATGACGTCATTGAGTACCTCATATATCGCCTCTGCCTACCAAGCGCAACCTCTGAGGACGTTGAAGCAGTTGCATCCATCGTTGAACAGCTCTCTTGGCCAGTCGAGGTAAAACCTAAGCCTATGTTCGAACCTGACGTCGAACCACAGCCCGTCATCGAACCCGAAGTCCATACGTCGATGATCGACATTGACTTGTCGCAGGAAGAGGACGGTGCAGTATTGGACCAAGAACCCGCCACGAAGCCCCTCGATGATCAGGATGAAGCTATCACTCAGGCAGCGTCACTCAATACTGACAACGACGCCGACAACGACGAGGCCGATGACATCCAACTGATGATTGAGGACACCACCTCTGCCTTGAGTAACCTTGTTCAGTCAAGGACTGACATAGCAGAATCTTCGGAGAAAATCGAGGACACCACGCAGAAGAACATGCAGAACAACAGACCTGCTGAACAAGGGCAGAGTGGAACACCGACATCATCGACCTCCGCCGAATCCGATGAAGATGAGGACGAAGAGAATGATGCTGCGCAGCCACTCGATATTGACGAACTAGAACTGAGGATTCGTGAATTCCTCGACTCATTCCTGAACTAGGTAATCGACAACGGTTACAGTGGTGCCACTGTCTAAATCTATGTTCATGGATGGAATTTCAAACATACACTTATGAACCTTAAGTTTTATTCCTAGTAAGTACTAGTTTATGTTACATACAAAACAAAAGTATATTCATTCAGGAAAAAAGGTTTCCTGCAAAGTTGAAAAAAAGGCTACAAAGGGCTTCACTCTCTGTTGAAAATAAATTGTGTTGCAAGGATAGCACTCAGATGATTTGGTTTTACTGTAGGTACGACATCGATTATTCCTTTTATATAACTCATTTTAAACGAACCATAAAATGGTACTGGATTTTGATTTTTTTTTCTTTATCTGCAGTTGAATGTATACGTTACGTTATATATTGAGTGATTAAACACACAACCTACAATTCATTTTATTCGTTTTTTTTATTGTGTTTGTACTTGTTACTATTACGTGTACATGCGTTGATTTTACATTAATGTCTCAAGAGCTTACGTGTCTGAATAATGGTACGTAAATACATGGTTCTAAAATAACTATCCTTTTTAAGCACTAACCCTAAAAATTTAATTTCTTTGCTATCTCTGAATATCACAACAAATCCCTTTCCCGATCATTTTCATCTTCGATTTCATCAAATCATAGTTGTTACCATTACTCTTTTTGTTTGTACTTCATCTGGTATTCTTTTATTTGGTGATTTTATTTTGTGTTTGTTGTTGGGGGGGGGGGGGCGGTAGAAATTAACTTTTTTTTTACCTACACGCAGATTGTATCTACGAAAACTGGTTGTTTCTAATTCTTTCTTAACTTTACTCTATCGTTCCCCTCTATCTCTCCGTCCTTCTGTCCCTCTGTCCCTCCCTCGATTTCTTTCTCTCTCGCTCTTCCACACTCAATTGTATTTTCTCGCTCTCTAACGTTAACTCTTCCCCTCTTCTTTCTCTTTTTCTTCTCTCTCTCTCTGTCTCCCCTTCTCTATTTGTCTCTCCTTTGATTTTTTGTACATGAATATCTCTTTCACCCTCCCTCTCATCTCTTTCAACCTCGATTGTTCATTGTTTCCTCTTGTTGTGTGTGGACAGTCTACTTCAGAATTGTGACATCAACCCCGTTCTCTTTCCGTTTCGTCTCCTGCTCTCTCTTTGTCTCTTTCTCCCTCTGTCTTCCATTCCCCCTCTCACACCCATTTCTCTTTCTTACCCTCCTTTTTTCTCTACCTGTCTTTCTCTCTCCTTTTTCTCTTTTTATATGACCGTCTCTTTTACTTCATTCTTTGATTTTGTGGTATTTTTCCTCTCTAGGACGGTATTTTATTACTTGGTCAGACTACTGGCATCAACCTTGTTCTTCTTGCCTCCCGTCTCTCTCTCTCTCTCTCTCTCTCTCTCTCCCCGTCTCTCTCTCTCTCTTCTCTCTTTCTCTCTCTCTCTATCTCTCTCTCTCTCTCTCACACACACACACACACACACACACACACTCTCTCTCTCTCCCTTGATTTCAGTGAAAAACAATTCCATCACATAAAATGAAAAAAAAAACACCCTGTGACTTCGAAGAGGGAACATTGTTTTTATTGAATATGATAAAGTTATGATACCCGCGATCTTAATTAAGCACCTTGTATATCTTTCATACAAGTTGTCTTTAATTGATTAAACATTCATATAAAGATAGTGTTCTTTCTCAGTAGCTACATGACATTGAAAGAGCGCTACGAGTTGTACAAATATATTCCTATAATTATACTATACGACATTCAATTCAAAACACATAACCAATAATTGAGATAAACACATTTGATATACATTCCAAAATCATTTACTGCAAGAAGCTTAGATTTATATATTATGTAAATTACAATCCGCAAGAAATATATACATGAAATAGTCCTATGATTATAGTACAGTCCACAGAGCAATTTGTTCATCTTCGTAAATGGTTATCATTTATTAAACACGTCGTCCTACACTGCTCAAAAATGAATATGCAAATACACAACAAATATTCAATAACTAATAATAGAGTACAATATTTTAACTAAATACGATTGAGCAATGAGATGAAAGATTGAAGAAGATAATAAATAGAAAATAATGAAATGTTCTGATAGGAGTAGTAAGAGCAAGCAAATAGAATGAAAGAAAAGGAGACTATTAGTGAGTAAAAATATGAAATTTGTAACATCTTGTAACACATACCTCATATTGCTAACACTATTTTGTAGAAATATATGAAATCAGTCTTCTGCTTTTGTATTGCTGTATTACATTGTATTCGCCTTTGCACTGTCCCCAATTATTCCACAATGTCGAAATAACCTACGCAAAATGCAATACATCTGTTCTAACATAAATCCTAAATTCCTTCTTTGATAAAATCTCGTAATATACAATCAAAGTCTTTATTTTCGTCAAAGATTCAGGTCGTTTTATAACTACCAAAAAAAGAATTAAGCCATAACGATGGTTTGTTTTAAAAGCAGCGTACTTTACCAACATAGATACCACTGCTGAAATGAATTTCAAATGGTAGGCCTACCATCTTTCGGTGAAGTATCTAGAGTGATTTTCGGTTGCTGTATACCCAAGCATCATTAAGCGCGCGTAGTTGTAGTTGGTGATGAATTGTGGGACATTGCTGTCGACAAGTCAAGACATTATTAGTAGCAGATGGCAGTAAACGTAAGTCAGAAGTAATGTCAGTCAAATATCCTGCCTTTAAACTAAATTAAAGCAACCGGTTCCTATCAACAACAAATCCTCACCGATTTACTATTCGAATGAAGAGTGATAACACTGTTGGTATGGTTTCAATTTCTAACGTGGAATAAATCTAAAGCGTTAAATTATGTAACACTATTTTGAAAAGCTTATTAAAAAAGTAGTGATTATTGCAGATAATGTTGTTCCCCCTCGTCTTGCTATATATAGTCGAGTTAATTTCATTTTATTTACTCTGTTATTAGTTTGGAAAACAAGGAGGATTGACGCATATGCTGCAGAGAATAATTGCCTTTAATATAAGTGTCCACAAATAAATGTTAAACTAAATGTATAATTTTCCCGAACGAACGGGCGTATATTCAGAGGAATGGGGTGGGTGTCTTTCTTTCTTAGTGAATGAAATACCAAAGAACAAGAAAGAAAGTCGGTCTCTATTGTTGAATAAAATAAGGAATAAAAATAACCGCTTAGGGGAGGGGTAAGGGTTTGGAAGGGGTTCAGTCATTCCTAATCACTGCCTTTTCTACCTCTTTTCCTTGTCTTCTTATTATCGTTCGCCATTTGATAGGGGAGGGGGGGGGGGGGTTACCCCCAGTCTGAACAAGAACACTATACTATGGCGCTGTGAAAGTGTTGAATACATGTATATTATAAACATGTAATTGTTGATATTAGCCACTATGGAGATAAATTTGAACCTAGGGTTTTGAATGATTTAAAAGCTATAAAAAACGAAAAAGGTTTTCTTGCCACCTTAGCTTTTTCATTGTTAGAATTGCTTCTTGTAAAACTAGAAGGAAAGCCTGAAAAAAAAAACATCTGTCACGCTTTCAAACAAGATTTAAGAAAATAGAACTTGAGACACAAACCTACGTTTAATAAACTCAATTTAATTTGAGTATGTCAATTTATAAGAACAAACATAAATGTCACAACGACTACATATTTCTATTACCTAAGTTATAATTTGTAAATGTAAGCAAAACAATTCAAAATAATTGATGCCTAATCATAAATGATATAATTACCATTATAAGCTAAGAAAGAAATATAAAATATATGTACACATCGGAATAACAATATAATAGTTACAGATATCATTTAATTACAATATTGCTAACACGAAGACCACCTCCCTACAAAAGCAGGGATTATTTTATAGCAAGATTGTGCACCCTATTATCATCATCTCACAAAATGAAGTATCTTAAGAAAAAGAAAATTCGTTGGTAACTCAAGCCACTTCAAAATCAATTCGTCGAAAACGCTTTTAAAACTTTGCAATCGATATCTGTAGCAATTCTAATACTTAGTACGTTGGTTTGTAGTAAATGTCCTGTTATAACTCAATAACAAAAAGAATCCAACTAATACATTTCCACTTAATTCTAAAAATATAAAATCGACTAAATGTGGTACGATTACAAAGCAGAGTCTGTCTTCTACAAAGCGAAATCAAATCTGAAGTTATAAGTCTTCTAGTCTTAGTTATCTGACAAGATATACATTATTTAAATATTTCCAAGTCGTTTTCTCTCTCGTCCGCCTTCATCATGCTCATTCTACAAGAAATAACAGAACAGAGCAGGCATAAAAAGACCCCACATTGATATACCGGAAGTTTCACTTTCGTCTTCAACCAAATATTGCTTGCATACATTATTTTTTGTGTGAGATAAATAATAATAATAATAATAGTTCGTCCTTATATAGCGCATTTCAGGACCGCAGGCCCTCTCAATGAATGTTTTAATTTATTTGCTGAATAATTCTGCATACGATGCTCGTTTTACTGACATTATAACCATAAATTAAAACACAGCTCTCAACTCATTGACGTGAGATGTAATTTTTAATGTGTTTTTGTAGCAAATATTGATTTAATTACCATGATAATAATGATGATGATGACCATAGTCTTTGTCATGTTCATTAGCCTGTAAGAGGGGGGGGGGGGGGGGTAAAATATCATGAAAAACCCATATCCTGTAGACATATTTCCAGTTGAACTGATCGTCCGACCCTCACCTTCAAATGGGGAAGGGGTGGGATGTAATTTACTGGCTTCATCCTGAGTACGCTGCGTCATTGAATAAAACCTCATTTCAAAGCATGCTGTCACCTTGCCAAGTTTATACGATAGGCTAACCATTGCCTTTCTCTAAAACACTGTACATATAATAGTTCAAAGATCTCTTTCCCTCGAATTAAGTCGGTCAAAGTCATTATAAAACTGACACAGTATTTAATGCCCATTGTGTATTGAAAAGCGAATGTACGAGTCACGGCATTAGTAGACCACGTGATGCCAGCTAGCTGACCAATCAGGAATCATCATCAACGATCGGCCAGTGTTTTTGATGATGCCATCATTACGCCTATTCATGGGGAAAATAAAACGGAATGACATCATTAAATCTAGTCCACTATCTGGATCTGGTTTGTCATTCCTCTCTTTAGGGTCCACAAATTGTTACGTGGAACGCTGAATCTCTATAGCCAAAGTGACAATTTTATTTGGAAAACAGACTTATCGTGATTATATGCTTACCATATTTCAAGATCAAACGCAGAATCTTGTATATCACATTTTTTATATTTATTGTAAACAAACAAGTCGCGATATTGTAGATAGATCAAAGTGCTGTTTATCTTGAATGAAGATTTTACAATGAAAATAGCTGCAAGTTAAGCGTAAGTCAAGTATATACAGTTTTCATTGATATTCAAATTTATTCGTTAAACACGGGATTTGTAAACGCAGAGAGATAATTTATTTATTCATTTATGTAGAAAAGGGAAATTAATCTCCTATGGTTGTCTCTTAATCAATTTTCAGTTTAAAGATTTCTTAAAAATACGATTTATATAAGGCTGATATAAGAGTGATGACAATCGAGAGATATAACATAGTAGCATAAATTCTAGTTCGTCTTTATTTTTCTGAAAAGGAGGGGGAGGGGTGCTAGAAATGTGATCCGTAAAAGTAAGTGTTTGACGAATTCATATCAGCCCAAATTCAAATGTATATTAAATTTGTTTGAATCAATATGATTATGATAGAGTTTTCAAAAATATCTTCCAAAAGGACAGACTGTTTTCCTTTTCAAGATGCTGCTACCTTGTTTGGCGTTCAACAATAAGGGATATAGCAACGTCAATCTGGCGCTGCTCAGTGGCTGCCGGGCTCACGATCAATTGGGCAAAAAGAATTTCCATTTTCGGTTTAACTTTCGGTTAAAAGATTATTACTATTATTATTATTGTACTGAATTCCAGAGCGGTTACATTTCATACAAAAACTAGTAAGACACTCTCTGTGATCGAAATAAACATTACATGATAATTAAAGAAAGATAGCAGGATGCAAAGCTGTCAGGATTCAATCATTTTCACTTTTTCTAAAGAAAGATTCAGAAGGTTTGAGAGCGAAAAGAAGAGGGCATTTGAAAGTAAAAGGCGATGAATAGAGGCTTATCTACCGTTTTCTACAAGGATTAATAATAATCTACGAAATCCATTCGCATAGTAATGTTCATACACGATTTCAATATTTAAAGATTGTTCGTCATGACGGCATACATTGTACATTGTTTCGTCATAATGGCATACGATGTTACGTCATCAGGACATACACTATCAGCTAAACATACATTCCATTCTTAGCACGTGATACAAATCAGGCATTATTTAATTCATTGTACGCCATACAGAGTCGCGACTACATTTGAATCTCTATAACTGAAGAAGGATCGTGCATGGTATAAAAGAGAAGAATCAAAGAGTGGTCTAGACTTTTAATAGAGAGCTTCTACTGGGTTGCGAGATAGAAAGAAACAGAAGCATTGCAAGAAGAACTTAACAGCAGGCCGAAGCAAAACGTCAAAAAACTATACTTCTGTGTTTCGATGTGTTCCTAGCGCATCGTCCTCGTCAATAAAGCGGAGTTGGTTGGCGTGGATGCCGTTCGGAGGTGATGTCGACGATTCTTCTCGTGTGACGACCGGTGGGACCAACGGCTGGAGTTCCAACTCGGTTTCGTCCAGCCATTTAGGTTTCTTCTCTGTCTTGGCCTGGGCCATGTCGACCATGGCTACTGAACAGCCTGATGATACTGAACACATGCTGTCCCGCCGTTCGGGCTCTTTCATGGCGTCTCGTAAAGCCTAGAAAGAAAGAAAAAACACTCATGTTACGTTACGTTACGTTACACACACGGTAATATATTGTGTTTGTTTTGCAGTTACAGCTCGACATGATCGGAAATATTCACCTTCATCGTCACCATCGTCATCATCAACCTCATCTTCGTCATTGTCACCATTTTCATTATTTTCATCCTCAAATTCATCATCTTAATCATAATCATCATAATGATTGGAGTCACCACCATCATCATCATCTTCATAGAGAACAAAGTAATCGTCGCTTTCATCTCCATCACCATCATCATAATAGTCCTCGTCATCATCGTCATCGCCATACAATTCATCATCATCATCATCGCAATCATCATCATCATCATCATCACCATCATCGGCACAATCATTATTATCATCATCATAATTCATCATCGTCATTATCGTCATTATATCATCATTAACGTCATTATATCATCATCATCATCATCATCTAAGCATCGTCATCATCATCATCCTCATCAACATCATCATCATCATCATCACCCTCCTCAATGTCACCTCCACCCTCCACCGTCTGCTCCTCCTCCTCTTTACTTCTCCTCCCCCTCACTCCTCCTCATCATCATCATCAGTATTCTCACCATGATCGACTTTACCTAGTCAATCATAGTAACAGTTACCCATTCCCCACGGGAATCGGCTGGCTCCTGTTTCAAGACTATGTGAATGGGACTATTCAGCAGTCAACGGGTTAATCTTACCTGGAACATCCCTGTACCGAGTGTGCCATCGTCATCCAAGTCCTTGTCGTGCACCTTGGCCTCCACCTGTCGAATCTTCTTGTCCATCTCACCCAGGGCTTCGAACATCTCAAACTTGAAACCTGAGATGTCCTGCTTGAGCTCGTTCAGGATGTTGGCCTGGTCATCGTCCTCCTCCTGGTGACGCTTCTCGAAGTGATACCTCCTGACGAGATGGTCCGAGACTTCCTGCGATGGGAGGAATAGAGGAGAGGGTTATTCCTAATTGGTATTGGTATTTATTTCATTCTTCATAAAAAAACATATACAATACATACAGAGTATTACAACAAAACAACAAAAAATTGTGATACATAGATACGTGCAAAAGGGTAACATTATAGATACTAAGAATACAATAAAATTACCAAGGAAATATATTCAAAAAGCAAATTTATTTCAAATGAGGGGTAACCAAAAAAGAGCATTTAGCCTTATTGAACGTTGACCCTTAAGAAAGTACATAATTAACATCACATTAAGAAGAAAAAGAAAGCAGGGGTAACAGTAGAAGGGAAAAGGAAAATATAATACATAAACAAATATATACGTCATAAATCGAATATGATATTCAAGTTGCTGAAATTTAATACAAACAATAAATGGAACGTCTAAAACTATTTACGGAAGGTTGATTGTTTAGATGGTTAGGAATTCATTATTCACATATTTTCTGTTAAAATGATCCTACTGTTAGACAAAAAGTACGACGATGAAGACAACTATTACTACAATACAATATTCGGATGAGGAAAGAAGAGGAGTAAAAGTTAGCACATGATGTACGACGAAACAGGTGTGGCAGAGGAGTAGAAGGTGTTTTGAGAAAATATCATAGTAGCATAAAGAACGAGTGAATAGAAGAAGTAGTCATATATAGCCTCAATTATCATTATCATTATCATTTTGTGTATTATTATTGTTATTAACAACATCATCACCATCATCATCACTATTAGAATGAGCAGCAGTTGTAGCAGCAGCATCAGTATTATTATTATTATTATTATTATTATTAGTAGTAGTAGTAGTAGTAGTAGTAGTAATATTAGTAGTAGTAGTAGTAGTAGTAGTAGTAGTAGTAGTAGTAGTAGTAGTAGGAGGAGTAGCAGTAGGAGGAGGAGTAGTAGTAGTAGTAGTAGTAGTAGTAGTAGTAGTAGTAGTATTAGTTGTACTAGTATTAGTAGTTGTGGTGTTAGTAGTAGTAGCAGTAGCAACAGTAATAAAACATGTAGCATTACTAGTAGTATTACTCTAGTATTGTAGTAATAGTTGTCTTCATCGTCGTACTTTTTGTCTTACAGTAGGATCATATCAACAGATATTCTACTCTTAATTTTGTTGGGAACTTTACAAAATCATTTTTTTCTTACCTTGAAACGCAACTGTCGTTCATCAACCAAGCTCTTCAATCGTTCCTACAGAATCACAGAATTGAAAATACTTTAGGTCATGCTACAAAGATTATAAGATGATGAAGCGGATCCTAATAAAATGATTGGTTAAGATGGTATACGTGTCCAGGCATTTATTTTGCTCAACACGTCTTTTTACTTATGACCGGTCATTAGCAAATACTAAAGACCGGTCATTACTAAAATCATGTTATAAAACCTCATTTTATAAAACGAATAAAACATCATCTCATAAAACAAAATAATACACATCATTTTGTTCGGGCATTAGTAAAATTACCCAAACTCGGTACATAACACCCTTGGCTACGCCTCGGGCGTGTTAGACTGTTCCAAAGGTACCTTGTGTGGGTAATTATTACTAATGCCCTCACTGCTGTGTATTATTTGTATAATTTATTTCTTAAAAAGAATGACACTATGAATTTTTGACACAAGGTCTTAGCTTGATTAAAATAATGCGGAGTATGGATATTGATGCCTGCACTATTAAGGTCTTTATCATGATCAATGTATTCTTATGCAATTTGCACAAATAAATGAACATTATGTTGTTGTTTTTAGGGCTCGTTAATCAGATCAATCAGATTGTTAATAAAAAGCTTAACATTTATTATTTCACATCATACAATCACTACGTATACAAATTTAAAGCTAATTTTTGACGACTTCGTATAGATTTGACAATCCTGACAGCGCCCTGATTACAATAATAGATAAATAATAACGAGTGCAGAAGATTTATAATGCTCAATATTTATACAAATATACTCTTCTGCCTGTTTAACATTAGTCTGATATATCTCGTCATCCATGTTCGTTTTAATATTTCTTAATACTTTTTAAAAAGTCAAACTAAACCTTTGTCAATAAGGTAGACTTAAAGGCTAGATGAAGTAATAGGATACTTTTGTTTAATGTATTTCTACGACTTCAAACCATGCCCGTTTAACGTTAATCTGATTTATCTCGGCATCCATGTTCGATTTAATATTTCTTATTACTTTTTAGCACGTCAAAGTAAACTCTTGTTAATAAGGTAGACTTTAAGGCTATAGATGAAGTAATAGAAGATACTTTGTTTGATGTATTTCTACGACTTTAAACCATGCCCGTTTAACATTAATCTGATATATCTCGTCATCCATGTTCGTTTTAATAATTCTTATTACTCTTTAACAAGTCAAACTAAACCTTTGTCAATAAGGTAAACTTCAAGGCTAGATGAAGTAATAAGATGCTTTGTTTAATGTATTTCTACGACTTTAAATCCCTCATTTAATGGACGACCAGCGTCCTTGGCGTTATGAGGTATCCTTCGTCGGTGCATAATGTTACACATCAGCTGGGCTCGTAATAATTTGGTCACGCCTTGTCGATTTAACGGTCAGAAAATCTCATTAAAGCAAAGTATGAGTCATAAGATCTCATAACACAGAATATGTAATCATCGCTGATTAACACACAGACCAAACCTGAGAAACTCATTAAGATTACAATCATCAGCGAACTGTCTTTCTTAGAAATGTTTAATTGGTTCGCTAAAATGAGCTACGGGGAAGTATTTCCATCCGAAAATACACCCGTTATAAAAATAATTCTTTTACTAATTAGCTGTTGTGTCATCTTCATTTTGCCTTTGAAAATTCGGATTCGATATTTAAAATGTTTAGCTTAACCATTTTTGAATAACTTTAGTCAAGCATCTATTCAAACATTAAACGTGTTTTAAAATTTTAATTACACAGCTTAATGTTCATTTGTACGGAAAAGGGATGATTGGTACTAAAACGAATCAAGCGTTTAATAAAAAGAAAAATAAAGGGTTAGATTAGAGCTAAACCGAAATTGGAAAATATTTACAGTCATATTGTCCGATTTCGGCTTTCTTCTAAGTTTTGTGATTTTAATCATGTGAGTGCAAAGGGAAAATGGGCCTTTTTTTCTTCTTCTTTACCCTAAACAAATATTTGGGCAGCATGTCTTTGAATCAAAACACTATAATACCTTGTATGCTCTTGCCATTTCTCCTCTGCAAACCACTTCACAAAATAACCACCGGAAGAAATAGAAGAAGGCTTTGGGAGTTGGTATGATGTTGAACGGTGGGGGCACTGTTCCAAGATCGTCGAAGTAACTCATCCAGAGTTTAGACCTTGAAAATTTCCACTCGATGTCGGCATCCATCTAGGAAAAGATTTGTTTTTAATATTAATTTTTTATTTATTTGGCAAATTTTGTTATCAAGGTTTCAAGGTTTCTTTTTATTTCCACATGATAATCAAATGAATATGAAATATATACCAAATTCAATAACATGATATTAACCAAACATTTTACAAATGATTATACAATTGTTTAAATTGATTTGCACAGTGGTTAAAACTTAGTGGAGGAGTCTATTAAAAAAGCATGGCGTGTATTTTATAGACCCCTTGAGAATTAAAACAAGTTTGTTATGAAGTGGTATTCATTCACTAATACGACACAAGTAACACAATAATATTTAGATGGTATAAGCTCGGAAGCTGACAGCCCGAAGACCAGCAGCAGACACGTTCGACTACCCCTGATATCGATAACATGGATCGAGCGGGCCTTGTGAAAAGTTACATAGCTGAGGGGGTTTAGCGTGGTGCCACTGTCAGCCTACGCCCGACACGTCCGGGCATCCTAGAAAGTTTTTATTTTAGGGTATGTTTTACCCTTCATTGTGTGTGTGTCTAACAAATCAGCGGAGACAATAACATTCACACCTATTCAACTGTACTCGAAGACATGTATCGATAAGAACCAAACTTAGTGAAGTCAAAGCACAATAATTGTTGGAAGATATGGAAAAGCCAGGAAAAGCCTGCGAAAAGCCCGCGAAAGGGGGGTTCGGAAATGTTGGCAGTCCTCAGATAGGGGGTGCTTTCAAAAAGAGGGAACAAGCATATGCGTATCCTAAATAACACTGAGTGGGGGGGGGGGGGGTACCAGTTTCGATAAATCGCATTTTTCCGGATTAGATTTGATCAGACGACATTCCATCCGATCACATCACTACAATCACGATAGCAATTATTTCCGCAATGCTCACCTCAACACGCGTATACGTGTTGCTCATCATAGCGATAAGCACGTTCAGCAGCACCACGATAGATATCACGTGATATGTAGCATAGAGGAAGTTTCCCACTGTTTGCGTGAAGGTGTGGGGTATGTTCGCCTGGCTGGACAGGTTGACGATATTCATATCGGGTAGCCCGAACAGAGCCCAGAAAAGAGTTGCCATCGTTTCCCCTAACCTGTATTACAAACACACAGCGCGAGAAAAGAACCAAAACCCAATGAACAAATTTCATATTTCAATGCTGTTCTAGATTTCATCTTATATCATTATAACAATGCTTACAATCGTGTCCGTCATATTTATGTTTAATCATTAATATGAGGGAAACATACCAGAAACGTAACAATTCGTATTCTTAAATACTATCAAACACCCGAAGTGACAATAAAGGTTCATCCAAGATTTAGAATTATACAAAAAAAGAAAATGAAAGTAGACTTATTTTTATTGGATAAGTTTTCCTTTTCAAGGAACACAAGTAATGATGTACGTTGTATCGTAAATGTAAACTCAAGAAGAGTAGAGGAAATAGATAGAAAGACAGAAAGACAGAAATAGAAAGAGAAAGAGAAGAAGGGACGAAGAGATAGAGAGAGGGAGAGGAAAAACTATGGGGAGGTGGATTAAATAATAATACTCACGTTCCGAATGGCTGCGTTGTAATGAAGGCTGAGTAGTACCAATAAAGCTGGTTCATACCGAGGGAGAAAGCGAACCAGACGAAACAGAAGATAAGAAGAAACTTACAGATGTCTATGATCATACCACCAAGTGAGATCTGCATAGGCCCGACATGGCGATTGACCACGGTTATACAGATAGGTCGAAGAAAACTCAATACCTAGATCGAGAAATAAATACAAAAGGTAAGAGTTAGTTCGAAGAGCTTCCATTTCAATTTTTATAGATGAGTTTTAATAATAATGATAATAAAAACGTTGCTTTTAAAGCGCTTACCACCAAGTCTCAAAGCGCTATAGACCGATAAACAATTTCATATTAAACAAAACAAAAAAGTGCAAATAAACCTACGGTAGTTTCTTTTGGTTGTTGACAACATCGTGTAAATATTCGAGCGTTTATCACTCTTGTTAGAAATGTAAATAATCAATGTTTAATAATGACAATTTAAGTTCATTTAAAAATCATGCTTCTCATCACAATTTTGAAAAGATTTAACACTATATTTTCATGAGTTCGAAAGAACCTTTAATCGTGTTCAAGGTCTGCAGATAACACGATGAATTTTGTTTTAATTATGTTTCGTCGATGATCGTCCAAGCCATATCATAAAGACCGTCATTTTCCTCTCGACAAGCCCAATACAATTTGGGTTTACAACTTATGAAATTATCCTTATCATTATGTATTGCTCCTTCCAAAATATTAATTAAATATATTTCGTCATTTCCTCTTAACCAAATCCGAATTCCATCGTGTCTATACAATATAATCCTTCGTAATACAAGTTAAGTAGTAGTAGAATGTAGAATGGTTTTTTTATTAGACAACTTCAAAATGGTAGCTCGAAAGCTAAATTACATTGCAAGTTTTACATGTATTAAAAATCAATTCAACAAACTTAGATAATATGGACAAGTACACATAATACACAGTCGGTTAGATCATAACTAATTACATATTCCCTACTTACAAACAAATTGATGAAACAAATAAAATAGATTCGGCGTTACTTTTTTTCTGTAATCATTGTTAAGTGAGGAATATTCATATTTTAAATATAAATTGAGGCTGATTAATGGAGTTATAACTAGTAAGTACTGAAGATTTGTTTAACTTCGAACCGTAATGCACATTGAATGTCTATAAAGCTACACAATATATAAGGATTTATCATAGAAACATGATTAAACAATTACCGAAAGGGAGAGAAAAGGTTAGGGAGAGAACGATGTAGAGAGAGAGAGTTAAGTTAGAAAGAAAAATAGGAAGACATGCGGAAGATGGGAGAGGGAGAGGGAGATAGGGAGGGAGTGGAATGAGAAGAATGGAACAGTTGGAACTGTGAAGACATGGAGAAGCGGAATGATGATGAAAGTAAGACGACAAGGAAAAGGCGATTAGAAAGAAATTACAAAGTAAAATACAAAGTTTCCCTTACAGAGAAAAACAGTACAATTTACCTATCATGCATTACTAAGACAATAACATCATATATGCGTAAAAACTTTAAATATGTAAAGACATAGAATGTACATGGGAACGTGCGTAACTATAAAAAATATATTCACTAATTAATCAGTTTGACAGTTAAAAACACAAGTGTATCCATTAATTACAATGTGGATTACATGCACTAATCTTTATGAGTTGATGGGTATAAAGTTGAGCAGTATTAAAAGCAACAAAAGGCATACGATTTGAATAAGAGGTGTGGAATCGGGCAGGAATCAGGGGAATTTATGCGTTGTTGAGTAACCTGGTGAGATATGGGACTGGGCTTTTCCTGTAACGTTCTGTTTTGGACTTAGGTTCTATACAGATACGTGATTTCCGTGTGTTTCTGGTGCTGGCGTTCAGTTTAAACCAGTCTGATTGGTCGGATTTCAGTGCTTTCAGGGCAAACTTGAGACATAGCTCTTCTCGGCGAGCATGGAGAGTTTGAAGCTTGGTCATTGATAGGGCATTTGAATAGGATATGTAATATCTACCTAGTATAATTCTTAATGCCCGTTTTTGAACATTTTCGATCTTGTTGGACTGGGCGATAGTCAATGCTCCGTTCCAGGCAGGGCAGGCATATTCGAGGAGTGGTCTTACAAATCCTATGTAAACTGTAACGAGGTCGTTGGTGGGGGGATAGAAGGCTTTCAGGGATCTTAACATGAAAAAAAACATTAAAGTGATTGGGTATCTTTGCCTCGGATTCTAAACAAAATCCTGGATTTAGCTCATGCTGCAATCATAGTTATAAACCTTTAGGTCAGTCGGGAATCCCATGACTTTTACAAGCCGATCGACTTTCTGATTATCAAGATATTTATGATTGGAAATCGAAATTTCAAAAACCCTTTTTCCCAGCGGTTTTTATAACACTACAGTCTATTGGGGGGAATAAGTATGGTAAAACCGGTCACTAAAAGACTTTTACTTTTTTGAGGCACTTCATGATCATTTTGAAGCGTAACTTATTTATGGCCTCAATATAACACTGTATCACAGATTCCGATAACACGTAGGGCCATTCATCTCAGATTTGTAAAACTGGAAACATTGTTAAACGATGCTTTTAAGAGAAAAATATATAAAGTTACCTTTGCTATTGCAAAGAGAGCTTCAGCAATAAGGACCGGATCGTAAGCACCCCAATTAGCCCGTTCGAAGTCTTCATTCTCCGTGATGTCGGTCTTAGCTAGGCCGCCACTGCCCCGTCTTCTGCTTGACGAACCTTCACCCGACTACAGGCAAGAAAAAAACGGTCAGAATTTGTTTTTTTTATGTATTCATAAAGGCCTTATATAGTAAATATAAAACATATTATGTGTATGGTTTCAATTATGCTTTAATAAGTTTAATCGTAACGTTTTAAACAAGCAACTGTAGATTATGTTTATGCTACGGTCACAAAGGTTTGTACGAACGATAATTTCGTACGAATCTTCCTGTTTTTCCATTGTCTTCCCGAATTTCCATTGTCTGTAAATCGTTCGTACGGCGTTCGTAGCAGTTCGTAATGGTATTTGTGACCGAGGCTTTACTTGAGTAAGAATGTATGCTAATGTTCACATTTCAAGTTGTACAGCATTGTGCGGTACATCTGTATTTCAATTAAACGTAAATCAATCAATTAAACCAATGAGTGGATGAATATGTAAATAATAAAAACAAACAAATAAAACCTAAATCAAAATAAATGTGTTTATTTGTAATTACTTGATCAAAGACTCAAATCATGAACATGTAAATGATGATGTCGAGGATCTTATAATGTAGAACATTCTATTGTATTGGTCAATATAAAGGCAATAAGATTATGTCTCGCAATGTATGGTCAACAAGGGATCTAAAAGATCACGACGTTTCGTGCGCCGCTACAACACTTGACAACACTACAACACTACAACACGTCAGGTGAACGAAACGTCGTGATCTCTTAGATCCCGTGTTGACCATACATTGCGAGACAAACGAATATCGCTAGAGATATTATTTCCGACATTATATCCGCAATGAGTAATACATTTAGCAAGATGATATGGCTCCTAAAGTAAAAAATATTACTCACATCTGCTGAGAACATGGATTTGATCTGGGATTGTCCGACTCCCAGCTGGTCAAGACGATCGTGGATACCCTGCAGGTTGTCCTGGATGCCGTCCAGGGTTTCGGTCACCACCGCGTTGTCGTTGAGCACGCTGGTGTCCATCGAGCTGGCACTTGTTGGCGGGGGCAGCGTCGCGTTCAGGTCCTGCGACCGCGGTGCGATGTGGAATGATGCGTTTTCGGCTGCGAGTGCCTGCACAATAATAATAATAATAATAATAATAACAATGATTATAATTGATAAATCGAAATACAAAATGGGAATGAATGGTGATACATTTGTATAGTATGATTTTGTTCCTTTAAAAATTCATCAATTGGAAAAAGTAGTGAAAATATTCAAGATTTGGCAGCCGGAGGGGGGGGGGGGGCTGGGAAGGGAAGAGAGAGAGAAAGAGAGAGAGCGCGCGCAGACGTATAATATATTAAAATTGAACGCAAACAACCCATACCCAAAGAAAAAATAAATAAAATTAGACCAAAAAAGGTTGTTATCATTGGACATTACAAATTACAAATTGTTTCATACAACTGTTTGAAGGAAATGGAAATAACAAAACCTGAAATAAGTGAAAATAAACAAAAAACAATATACAAGATAATCAGCTTTTTTTTTTATTAACTCCTTACCTAAAATACACGAAAATAACTATTATTGTAATCTTGAGGGATCAAATAGGAATCAGGGGAAGAGTGAGAGAGGAAGAGAGAGATAAGAGATAGAGATAGAGGGAGAGAGAGAGAGAGAGAGAGAAAAGGGAGGGGACAGAAAAGATATACAGAAAGGCGAAGCAATGAAAAGGTTACCACCTCTCTCAGATTACCCTTAAACATCATTTTCTTGAGCATCACACGAAGCACTTAATGTATTTACATCTACCACAGATAAACGCTCTCTTGCGGAGCTCAAGTGGGCCATCGTATATAGCAAGTCGTCTAAATCATCCTCATCATGCTGTCATGATTGTCAGTGGCAATGTGACAAATCTTGTCATCAGAGTTTGAGTGTGCTTCAAGGCAAGCTATTGACACCGCAATATTTGCCCAAGATTATTGAAGAAGCATTCACGGAAGTGCCGGTATGCATGCAGTCGGTTGGGAATAACCCGCACTTGTTTGCAGATTGCAACGGAGAAGCGGCATTTATGTTGGACTGTGACGGTGATACTAACACCATTTTGATCGCGTGGGACCGTTGAAGAGGTTTGGGCCCCTTCGGAAGCGCTGATGTCAAGATTTATTGACATTATTGCGCTGTCAAACTTGTCTTGGCATCGCGGGTCCTCTGAAGAGTGTGTTTTCTACAAGACTCTTCTGAACACAATGAATTTACTGCTCAGGATGCTGTGTTCTGAGGCGTTCACTGCTTCCCCCTCGTATTCATTGTACAATGCATTTTAACCACTTTTCCTTTTTAGTTTGAATATTCAGAGGAAATTATGAAAGAAAAAAAAATCTTTTAAGACCCCTACCCAGATAAACAGACAACAGTTTACTCGAAAACTTTTAAAAAATATGCCCATATTATGTCTTACGATATATCCATCAAAACTAAAACACATTGTTTGACCTTGAAAATAAAACCTAAGAAATATTAATTTTTGAAGTATTATACCCTAATTTACTTTAAAAAAATACAGGGTACTGTACGTTTTTGGTTGTATCAGGTCCACAGCGTTGTGAGGACCCCCCCCCCCCCCACAAAAGACAAACAATAAACTTATGAACATCCATTATTCATTGTTAAGAGTAATAAAATAAGCATTTAATTTTTATTTACAAGCACACTTAATATGAGATACCACACTAGCAAGCAGCAACCATCAAAGGTTCTAATAACATCATTGTTAAAACAGCTCATTAAACGGAACATTTATTTTCGTGTCAAATTCCTTCTCGGCAATATATCGGTATGCAAGCAACATGATTGATGTTGAATTTTGTTCTACCACAATGTGTGCTGTTTAAATGGATGATGCGTAAACAAGCTTTGTATGGTTGAACAATGACGCGGTTATGCATGTTGGTTTCGCTATGTTTAATAATATCATTCATCATCCATGTTCCACGTTTCAATTTCAATGTATAAACCGACAACGAACAGTCGTGAAACTGTAAGAAACCCATATGCATGACCTCTGGGTAGAAAGATGGTGACCCGCCATTTATTAAAAAAATAAAAATACATCGGTTGGAGTTTTTAGACGTGTCAAAGGCTGGTGACGCAAATGATCCGGCAGCCCCCGCTCTTATTACACGCATCGGCACCCTTAGGAAACGAACAGGAGACTGGGAAAAGAGGTTATGCAAACCATTATGAAGTGTAAGCTGAAGAAGGCAAACAGAAAAACCTTAACCATCATGGTTGCATACAGGAACAGCTCCGGAGTCAAACAGAATTAGCGGAATTAGATTGCCCTCTCAAGAACCGGGTTTAATCCAAGGCATCAGTTAGCAAATATTAGACTTAAGCCTTTTAACAAACAAATTTGAGAAATATTGCATTTTATGAATGAATTAGGCAGAAAGAAACTAGTTTCATGTTTATTTTACTGGACACATAGGCCTAGCATTCCTGCACTTAAATTTAGGACAAACCCTTAATCAAAATATTTGATTCGGGCTCGAAGATCGATTGTCCAATATTAGATCTAACCCTTTTGCAGGTTTTTTTTTTATATCAATATCAAAATTTATGAATGAATAAGACGGAAATAACCTAAATTTATTGAAATGGCTTTACCGTTGCAGAATTTCCATAACAATACTGATATCGTACAAAATATACCCATTTTCCTGTTGTAATGCAGGTTTATTCTTTCTCTTTTCTGTTGTTTAGCTTTGTATTTCCCTTTGTACAGCTTAAAAGCTATATTCACCTGTAATTGCATGAACTTTTTCAAGAATTCATTCCTATTTGTTATAGCGAGTTATAATCTACGAAGTTCTCAAATATATAAGGATACTTAAAGATTTATCTCTGAAAATTTTCTTACACACTACAGAAAAAACAATGTAAATATATTTATTTCTGAAATATATAGTTTCTTGATTATTGGCGCAGTCCAAATAACCCTTAATTTTCTCTTTAAAGCCAGAAAGACGTTAACTCTTTTGCTTTAACATAGGGTTAGCGCCGTTCAGATTTTGTTTTTCTAGAACTTACATGGACGCATCCCCTTTAACATGCTATTGTTTTTTAAGTATATAGGCCTACATTAATTTGACTTTGAAATTTCAACGCAATGTTTGTTTATTTGTATTTGAAGAATTAATTAATTCGGAAATAGTTTTATTTGATTTTATTTATTACTCACCTGTATGTAGACCATCACCCTGAGTGCGATGAAACTCCAAAAGAGAGAGAGCATGAAGAAATCAAAATAATTCCACAAGTTGACAAAGAATCTAGCGCCATTGTACCATAACTCCTTGCACTTTTGCCACGTTTGACCTGTAAGAAAAGAAGAATACAATTGTTTGATTTAATTTGATTTTTCGCATGTGTCATATCAACATGATGAAAGAAAGCATGACACAAAAAATAACGGAAGTGAAATGATGTCATCATCAATAACAAAAAAAGAAGAAGACACATATCAATAATCTGAAAAATGTTTACTTTAACAATGTCTAATAACATCTGCAATACTCTACACTAATAGGGTGGAATGTTTATAATCCCGCTCGCTTGTTAGATGCATTGTCTGGTCAAGACATTGGCGATCAAGGCCTTCCATCTATTTCTATCTCTGGTTCTTTGTAATGTGACGTTACTTCTGTTACCAGTCAGCCCAATGAACTCATCCATGTATTTGATATGCTGTCTCCGTCTGCTTCTCTTTCCCTCAATTTTTTCCTGTTTTCCTGTTTTCTGTGCCTTCTCTTCTCATAAAATTATGATATTAAGGAGGGATCTATCGACACATCCCTTAAAGCCCATCTACACTAGTTTATCCAGGATGAATTTGACCCCCTGCAAGATGACAGGTTGTTATCTCATCAAATCAGCTCTCAGTTAACATAAGAAAAAGGGGACCATGGGGGACGAATGGTCACCGATTAGACATTGTTTACTATATAGAGGGCGTAAGTAACTATAAGTACTGCAGTGGGGCTTTAATAAGCACTTCTTCGTTTGATATCCTGTCAATCACATTGTTTTTATGACGAGCCATTAAAAGGTCTCCGAGTTTGTCACAACAGCTGCCCGGTGTTAGTAAGCACCTTTTAAACACACATCTCCTTTAGAGTGTTTGTAAGTACCATTACCTCAAAGGGTGCCTAGTACACAAACACTGTTAAAGATCGTCACCACTACTGGGCCAGAAGGGATTAGACCACACAGAGAGCCATCGAGGTCACTGTGACAGGTGGCTATCTCATTAACTCAGCTCTCATTTAACATAAGAAAAAGAGGATCATGGGGGACCAACAGGCACCGATTAGGGAAGTTTTCTATATAGAGGGAGCAAGTAGCTATAAGTATGGCAGTGTGCCTTTAAGAGGCCGCCAGCGTAAAAGTTTACATTTTTAAAGAATTGTCTGAGAGTGGCATTGACCTCTATAGAGTTGACAAAAGTATAAGGAATGAGCTAATAAGGACTTTTAGATTTGCACATCGACATAGTGGACTGCTACGTGTGACGTCCTTTTAACGCACTGGCAGTGCCTTAAAAGGAAGTCACATTGCCTTAAAAGGACGTCACACGTAGCAGTATACGGCGACGTGCACATCTAAAAGTCCCTACTAAGACCAATGGGGCTGAAGGTTATGACAGTTTGAAGATTTTGAAGGAAATTAACAGCACCCACCAACAGTTTATATAATAATATGACTGCAATATCAAAATATCTTCCAAATAAATTACAGAGCTCAATAAATTGAAATTGCATAAACTGAATAAGGGTTGGCAAAATAATTTAAAATACCGATTTATGAGTGTACGCCTGCAAAATGCCATGTCAATTATCTTGTCCTTAATTAATGATGCATACATTGGTATCAGTTTTTTAGGTAGTGGATGATAACCGGTCATCTTAGTATGACAATACAACAATTTTGCGACTCCGAAATAAGCACTCTATATGACCTCATGAACGCCGCGAAAGCATATTTAAAGACGGAAATAAATTAATCTACTCCATTGCGCAATATTGCCGGTCCGCACGCAAAGTAAAGATAATTATTCGGCCCAGTCATTCGTGAAATAGTTGCGTTCCAAACAGAACTATGAAAAATGATGACTGGCTGATTTCATTTTATGAAATATTAGTGGCTGGTTTATTAATTCAAGGCCAATTTTAAAAGCGTTAATCTTAAAGTACCGTTAAGTCAATATCGACAACACTCGATCAAATATCGTCGTTCTCTTGTATATACTAAAATGCACTTGTTTGCATCCATATAGGCTATTGTAAAGAGGTAAATTGTCAATTATTATTTTGAATAGTGCTTGACCGAAATTTGACTTTTTGTTTGAGATGAATTATGATGTAATTTCGAAAAGCCTTTCATGAACACTAATCCTTTACTTATACAACTGACAATGGAATATATAAATGGTGTAATTTTTCTTTGTTAAAAACCCTGGCACGAATGTTGTTTTTTGTGCAAGTGTAATGGGTTCAATTTCAGTTGTACCAATCTACCCAGTCCATCTGGTTTTGTAATTTATGCTTACAATGAAAAAAGAAAGAAAATGCACATGCAAAAAAAAAAAAGTTCCCACTGAAGAGGGATACAATCGAAATTTGAAAAAGAAAACCTAGATTAAATGAGAAAGAAATTATTCAAACGATTCAGACGATGAGGTTGAAGAAGAATTAAAAAAAGAAGACGAAGGAGAAGAAAAAGAAGAAATTAAGACGAAGAATAATAGGAGAAGGTGGAAGAAGAGTTGGGAGGAGGAGTTGGGAAGGAGAGGAGAATGGGGAGGGAGAAAATGAAGATGATTATACAAACAATAATAATACAAATAGTTAGATGAATAAGAAAAATGTACATACATCGACAAAACAGACGAAATAAAAGGAAAACAAGTACAAAACAACACAAAAGAAAGAAACATGGAAACACGTAAAATGAGTTTGTAGCAAAGTTAGGTATTGGCGAACGAGCATAGCGACGGCAGCACGGACTTAGAAACAATGATCATGAACACATTTTTCAAGTCCTTCGAGAGGAAAAAGCTGAAAAGAGGGAGGGAGAACATAGTCGTGAGAGAATGATAGAGATAGATGAATATACAGGTGAGAGAAAGAGGCAGACATATTCTAGAGTGAGATAGAGAATAAGAGAAAGAGAAGAAAGCGAGAGAGAATGAGAGATACAAAACGAGGGGAAATTAGAGATAAACAAAGAGAGCAGGAGAAGATCGGGAGAATGAGAGAGAGGAAGAGAAAGTGAGAGAGAAAGAGTTGAGAAAGAGAGAGAGAGAGAGAGAAAAAGAAATATGAGATAGAGAGAGAGAGAGAGAGAGAGAGAGAGAGAGAGAGAGAGCTCGATATGGCAGGACCAGGCATGCGGTTAGAGTGTTGAGTAGGATTCCAACACGCTAGCAAGTAAACTTCTCTGGTTAGGTCAATACAAACGACAAGAGAAGCACGATCAACCGTGTTATCGCGATGACAAGAGGCGGAAATCGTCTTCCAATCAGATGGATGGCATTCAGGTCACGTGACTGGGTGAGTTGGTGACCGAGGGCGCCATATTTTGCCCCGTCTTACGGTCGCCGCATTTTCGACACCTCTTTAATGGACCTCAACGCTTTTACTCGATTACCAATATAACTTCATGTTCAGTGTACCATTTAAAGATCGGTACGGGAAATAAGAAAGAATGAACAGAAAGAAAGAAAGAAAGAAAGAAAAAAGGAGTCAGTATGATAAATCAACGTAGGAACGTTATGTAGTTTAATAGACGCTGATGTGGGCGAAAGTGAAGGGGTGAAAATGGCAATGCGAGCACAAAATAAAAGTGCACCCTCTGAATTACATATATTGTAATCTTGTTCATTGGATTTCAACCCTTGTGATTACTAACAGTTCACAGTATTTTTGACATAAATATTATTTCACGAAAAATTCCATTTCATAACTGTCAATGCTCAACTAAAGTTGACCTTTACCAATTTATGTTAGTCATTCTATCATTAAGTGACAAAAATTCATTTCCCTCCTGTCTTTTTCATTATTCTTTTTTGATCGATTCTCGTTTAAATGACCAATTGCTTTTAAAACTTACCTATTTAATTACATGCATGATAAATCATGTATTTTTCCTTTAAAAAAAAAAATCAGCACACCTCGCGATTGCTCGTGTAATCTTTGTGCAAGGGGCCATGCTAATGTTCTCTTAATAGTTTAAATTTCAGTATGTGTCAATAATATATTCCTGATTGGCGGAACCAATCTAGAACCGATGTGAATGTGGTTGCGGTGTGACCTCTCAAATATCGGTATAAGATTTGAGGTATAGTTGCACTTATCGTTGACGGTATGGTGTGACCGGACCTAAACACGTTGTATATATATATATATATACGGGGTCATTGTCATAAAAGGTCAGAAAAGAAAGTGTAATTACATTCTCATTTCGGCGGGAAAAGGTCATATGAGAACTGCATTAGATAGTTGGATGAACGTAGAAAATAGGATACCCATTCACTTTTAATTAAGAGAACGTCTGATTGACCCAGCTACTATTGAGAAATTACTGCTTTGTTTCCATCCCATGTCATATAACTTTTGATTATTCCGTCCTCTGTTTCTATATCTTTCTATCTATCTATCTATCAATCTATCTATCTATCTATCAATATATCATTCTATCTATCCCATTATTTTTTATCATGTATCTCTTTGATCTGTCACGCTTGTCTGATCTTTTTGGTTTTCTCTAGCTTTCTCTCTCTGATTTACAAGTGCCCTTAATTATGTACTAAATCTCATCTGACCTTTGCGTCTCTCTCTCTCACTCTCTCTCTCTCTCTCTCTCTCTCTCTCTCTCTCTATCTCTCGCTGTCTATGTTCCTCCTCCCCGAAAGGATATGAACTTTAGCTATAAGGAATAAACCATATTGTCACAATTAATCCATGAACAGAGGCAAGAAATTTTCATTCCAACTTTGAAGCCAACAGTGTTTTTTTATACTTTTTTGATGCCCTGCATGTAATTAACCATTGATTGATGTGGGCGTGATTCTTTTGCTCGATTTATGCTATGTTCCTTTTTCATTTCAATATTTAGTAAAGTGATAATAACAAAAATGGAGTTCTGTACATGAATCATGAGATAACACGAAACAAACGACAATTTAGCACAGGGATACATATGTCAAATGTAAGATAATGATCTCGTTCATCATGCTCATGACCACATGATACATGGCCCGGAAATTAAGAATATTAATGAAAAGAAGTCGTTCTGAAATAATTGAATATTGGTATGATAGATAGTAACTAATAATGATATTACCCAGACGCGACCGCAATCAGGGTAAATATTCAGTAAGCAAATGGATCATATCAATAATTAGATCATGCTATTGAGACCCACCTGCGAATGTATGTGCTCATGTTATCCACACAAATCGGGGAGCAATGCCCTTTTTGTTTACCATGATTTACATTTTTAAAAATTATAACGCAAAACAAGTATGATTCATCGTCAAGACAAAAATACATTCAAATAAATGATATTTTTGATCTGACAATAATTGGCGTGCTTCGGAATCTAGGGGCCCACATTCTAATTAACACGCCGCATGTGTAAACAAAGACTGTTTTTAAACATTATTTTGAGTCTATTATTATGCTTTTCTTGTTGATATTTGCCACATGTTCGAACAGATAATTATCACAATCCTAAGCTGACGAAAGTGACTGCCTAATGATATTTTATTTTCTAATCTGATTCAAGCATGTGGCGATCGAGTTACATTTTTTCATGTTCATGCCGACACGTTTTTGGTTACCAATCAAATATCCCTTTCTAAACATTTTTCTCTTTTAGGATTGACTTAAAGATATGCTTGAGTTCTTGTTATGATAGAAAATGAATTTTTACAGAATCAAACACAACTTACACTGAGTGTTCAATATTACAAAAAAGACATGTGCCAAACGATTTTAGTAGAAATGTATAGGGGCTGAGTAATGAGCATAGAAAGATAAGGAAATCAAGGTAAGTATAGGCCCGACACCATTTGCTTAAATTAAATAAGTCACTATGTGCAAATGGGAGTTGTGGTTTTTATTGAAGATGATTACCAGCAAGTTTTTGTGAGTTTTTTTTTTTTTATTGGTTCATACAATCAGTCTACTCCAGAATGAACTATAGCCATGTTCTCTCGACATACGATGCCCATATCAGAGCTCAAGATTAGCTTTAATACACAATTTTGCTAGCTTCTATTTATAAATGCTTTTAGTTAAATATAGACATGATAGATGTGAACCCCCGCCGGCAACGCAACGTTTAACAATTATTTTTTGCCGTTTTTCCTGACTATCTCTCATTCATGGTTCTAATTTCATCAACACGTCCAATAGCACATTCAAGTTAATTAGAAGCAATAAAAGCCAATAATATAGCACATTAAATTTCTTCCCTCTATCAGCAGTAACAACAGCGGGATTTTTTCCCTCCTGAAATCAGGACCTGTTTGAGGAAGTAATAATTGTTCGGGTGTGTTTGATGGGAGGCAGTAAGCGGGAGGCATTGCCTGACTTACGCCCGAGTAGCCGGTATGACGTCCATGGGGAAGGATGAGGGATGGTGGTGGTATTGGGTACACCCCGGCCCCCTCTCCCGAAAACAAACGCCATACTGTGATTTCAAGTTTAACACTTTATATGCCTTCCTTGCCTCTCTGCACGGTCTCGATCTCGTTTGCCACATGTGCAGGTTTGCACAAAACGGTAGGCACCAGTTGACGGAGGGATTCTTTGTGCAACACAATGGATTTGAAAAATTAGCAATTTCCGGTCTTGAATGACTCCATGAAAAACCTCTTAACACCGGTAGATATCAATCTCTCACTGGATTTAGCAAACCTCACCAAATGACGCATAATTACGCTTATATCGAACATTTTTAAAAAACATATATATATTGACAGTGTAATTTTTTTTTTCCGTTTGGTTTTGTCTATTTTTTCTCTCTCACTTGAATATAGTCACTTAAAGCTAAGGTTACCTGAGGCTTCCCCCATAATCTACCAACAAATACACACCCCACCCCTGAATAGTGAAATAAGAGACTTGTACGCCACTGCTTTTAAGCGGTCGACCAGCTAGCTACCCCGCTACAAATGATCAATTACTGCCCCACCGAGTAGGGGCAGGCTTGTGATGTACATCGCAATGGTTTAATCAAACACGTGAAGTGATTCGGAAAATAATTCATCACGATATCCTGAGCAATATAACGGGAGAGCTGCCTGGATGTGGACCAATTTCATTTTGGCACGCCGCCCAGAACTGCAGTTAGCTACAGTCCGCCCCAAATCCAGACCCTGTCTCACTCGGCCTATCAATATCATGAAAATTGAGTCTTTCGGAATTTAGAGAGAGAGAGAGAGAGAGGGGGGGGAGGGTGGGAGACACACACAGAGAGAGAGAGAGAGAGAGAGAGAGAGAGAGAGAGAGAGAGAGAGAGATAGAGAGAGAGAGGGAGAGAGAATAGTGCGATTGATCCTTTTTTCATAACCTCAATAAGCGTTTACTGTTAAAGGGACATGCGAAATACCAATACCTTGATTTTATGAAGAAAGGGACATGAATGTAAGATAATTTATTCACGCTGGAATCTCATGCACTTCTTCACGAATTCCTTCCTTTCGAAAAAATATAGAATTGAGATGGCCTCGAAAAAAAAAAGATTTCTTGCAAGAATGTTTTTCGAGCATTTTTAATGCAAGTTTTTGCCGCTTATAATGCGCTGCTCTGTCATTCCTTTGTGAGCACAAAATGATAAACAAAATTGTTATAGGATTTTACAGCGTCGAAGAAAAATGGAATCAATCACAATCTACTGAGAGATCTTTAAAAAAAAATACCAACATTATGAAAGATGACAAAAGTTTAAGCTTTTCATTTGAATTTGTACATTTGTAAACTTAATTGTTTAACTGATTTACTTTTTTTCTTCTTAATCAGGAATGAGGGTGTATTCAAATGAAGTATAAACTGAATAATGCGTAAAAGGATTAATGTTTTTTACATGACTGGGAAGGGGGAAGAACATTTCAAGTGAAATGCCTCGACAAATAATTTGTCGACGCTATTGCACCGGGATAACGGCATTTTTTTACAAACCGAATGTTAAGCGCGAAGAAGGAAAATAAAAGATATCAACTATGGGGCGGGAAGGGGGAGGGAGAGAAAGATTTCCCCTCATTTATCGAAACCCCTTGCTATACGCTAATGAAATTGCCATTTCAATATCATTCATAAAAAAAGATATTTCAAGAGATAAAAGTCATACTATTTCAGATTGCATGGTAAGAGAGCAATTTATATGGTTATTAACCAGCTAATGATCATGCATTAATTCATACCGCATACATAATTATACGCATACCGATCGGATCTGCTACTAATTAGCACGGTTCAATTAGCATTGCAAATTACACAGTCGGAGCAATGCTTAAGTTTTACATGTTAATAGGACCTTGATCTCAATTAGTTTATGTATCATTGCTATTGACACGGTCGGAGCATCAGCTGAACTTTCACACGTGAGGAATAAGACCTTGGTATTAATTGCAATTAACATAGTCGGAGCACAATTAAACGTCCTTTTGCAAGACATTAATCCATATTTGCCACCCTCCACCCAGGTGTATATATGCAATTGCTGGGATAAAAGTAATTCCAGTACCGAGTGAAGAACAGCTTGGATGCTGATGATCGAGGCCTCCCTGGGTAGGCTAATATTATCAAAATAATTTTTCTCGTGTAAAGGGGACCTTGATGTCGATTGGTCGGCAGAGCGCAGGCATGACACTTCGCCTCGTGTCACTTTTGACGGCAGCCGATTTGAGCACCTGCGTCGAGCAGCATTCCCCCGTCGACGTCCTTATCATACACAAACTGATATCGATTCGGCATCAATTTAGTCCACTTTGTAGATGCTTTGAGGAATGTCTCGGGTCTCGCTCGAGAGCCTTCACGTTGAATGACTCGATAAATGTCTGTCTAGAATTGTTTTCATATTGACTTAATTTGCAGCAGACTTATAGTACCAGGGTTCACAGACTTGTATTGTATTGATTGCACTGAACATGTTGAAATTTGTTCCCCTTTAGGTGAAATTTGATCATCTTTAATAAATCTGTATTTGGTCATGTCAAGTACTGAATATTATACGCAGCAAACTATACATTATCGTTCAATTTCTTTTGATCAAGAGAAGTAGAAATGTATAGATTTTTTACAATTTGGCCTAGGATGTTTTTTTTCCTTCCATTTCTTTTCCATTCTTTTTTTTCTGTTGAAACTATCCTTAAGTTAAAGATTGAAAGATTTCCCAAAACACCCCTCTCCCGCCTAAGAAACAGAATTTAACTTTTCCCATCCGTTGCCGATAATGAATATGTGGTCATGTATACCCCTCCTTCACCATGAATCATTTTGGAATCTTTCTTAGATTCGAACGGTTCTCCTTAACTAATGCAAGGCAGCTTTTATGGTTTTTATTACCGACAGAAATACAGATCGGGGAAGGCAGGGACTCTGATATCAACACGCAATCCATTTTTTCATGAATGGCATTAAAACGAATACATCATTATACAACTCTTACAGTATTTCGACTATCCGAGATAAAGACATATACCACAACGGCAACAGCAGAATACAAACACATGCAACATTAACGACGTCTAACAGAAGCAAAACCCAGTTTCAAAGAGATATACTAGTATTTTCAAGACATGTATAATAATACTAGTATATGCCGTCATTAGATGCAGCTCCATTCCTCCATTTAACGATATTAGTAATATACACAGTTTCATACCACTACTATATGCAATGGTGGGATAGAGAAAAAGAGGTTGAAATAAGTAGTGTTTATTGTAAACCCAAGAAGAGTTTAAGGGTGTCTTTATTCTTGTTATATTATCTACGTTTATTATGTTATGATTTTTCATTGTTAATCGTCTTTATCTGGATATACTATATATGCTTGGAATTTTTGTCTTCTCTATATTTGATGAAAAGACAAAGAGAAAGAGAGAGAGAGAGAGAGAGAGAGAAAGAAAAATCACAAATTAAAGAAGACTAAAGCACTTTCACCTTTCCATTAATCACTAATAGAGGTGGGGTGTATATTCTTAATTCAGAAAGGCATTGATTAATTTTATTCTCACCCCATCTTGCATGTTTACTTTCCATACCTATGATTTTCGGGTACTGAACTGATCACATCAACAAACTAACTAACCTGCTACCCATGCTACAATGAGTAGCATGGTAATCGTCGGCGGGTCCGACCTGGAATCAATGGCCCTCGTCGCCGTGGTCGTCCCGTTACCGTCCGTCATCGTGTCCGTCTCCGTCCGCACCTGGTTCTCGGCCATCGTTTGGTAGAGGAGCAGGAGGAGGAAGTAGATCATGGATGACGTATGGCAGACGAATTTGACGTAGGGGATGGAGAGGAAGTCACGGTAGCGCCCGCGGGGGTAGATGATGTAGGCGATGGAGAGGAGAGGGAAACCCAGACCCATGAGGAAAACGAGGAACCCCGACCTTAACGAGCTCATGTCTCGCCAGCCCGGTAGGCCGGCGTACCAGCGCTCGATCAAACGCTGTTGGCAGTGAGGGTGGGCGACAAACTGCAGGGAGAGAGAAAAGTGAGATTAGATGGTATAGGATATTGGAAAGAGTCGGATGATGTAGATATGGATGTTGATATAGGGAACTCTTTTAAGAGTGTTTAAAAAACATGAATATAAAGATTAGTCAATAGTCAACTCTAAATCAATAGAAGTAACGAAGAAGGAAAAGAAAAGATGTATAAAAATGATGATTATTATTATTATGAAAAGGCAATAATAATAATACATGTAATAATAATGATAATGATTATAATAGCAACAACAACAACAAAAACAATAATAATGATACTAATAATTATGAAAATACAAATACCATGCTTAAAAATAATGATAATGGTAATTTCTAAGCTTCTTCTTTCTTATTATAATAGTGTAGAATGATATCATATACACAAAATGTCCCCTGAAGAGGATGGCTCTTCAAACACCCGCGTATTCGAAAAATGATACGAAACAGCTCAAGTTAATATGTGGACCACAGACACTTTTTGTCAGTTTCATGTCACATGTTTATGTAGTCCCATATAGTACGCTCCTATGTACGGTGGACGTGACTGTTAGCAAGACTGGGCCAAGTTCTTATCATTTTGATGATTCCAGACCCTCACAGTTATTCAACAATAATTATTTGACATGTGACCAAGCCTAATTGTCAATTGGCTTCAAGACACTTTCCTTCATAATGAAATTGCATGACCACGGACCCATTTCACAAAGCCTTTCTTTTCCAATGAAAAATGACAAGAATCAGTGATAAATCTGCTATTAACCAATCAGTAGCAAGGATTTCACAAGCTTAATATAACAAAAGCTGCCATTTTTCACTGATGACAGGTTTCGTGAAATAAAGCCCCAATCTCCATACACCAAAGCAAATTTGCGACATCACAAATACCACTAGTAAAGGTGACCAGAAAAAAAAAAATCCTTTTTGGGTCACATAAATTAGCAGGTACATTTTGGAAACATTAATAAAGATTGACACTGGAGTTACAATGTGTATTATTCCCTCTTAATTTCAAGGCAAATGTAATTTTGGTAGGTATACCGGGCGGAAAGAAATCTTCGGTGTTATTGTATTTTCACTGCATCAATAGTATCATAACGCATATGGGGCAAGAGCAATAATGGGACTTTAGCCCAATTACATTTTCTACAAGGGAAAGTCGGCTAATGTTTTTATAAAACGAATTTCCATCAAGGTACATTGTGTGATCAATGTCGACGCTTCAGGGTAAAGTGAGTCATTCGAGATAGAGCAACGTCGATCTGGCGCTGCTCATGCAGTGGCTGCCGGGCCCACGATCAATTGGGCTAAAAGAATTTCCATTTTCGGTTTAATAAAATTTGGAGTGGACTTACGGATTATTATTATTATTATTGTTATTATTGGTACGTACCTTTCTTTGTTCAAAGTGAATGGCGGCTTTGACTCTGTTCGGTTGCTCAGCGGCAGAGTTCGAGTTTGGATTACCCCAGCCATACGAGTCATGGTTCAAGATGTAGGCTTGCTCTCCCGAATCTCGTACCTGCATCGGGAAATTGAAAATTAAAATAATTAAAACCTTATAATTAGCATTGGATAATCTGAAAAGCGTCCCCCTCATAGAAATTAATTTACAATATACAATCAAACCTGTTTGTATAAGGTGGCAATCTCTATATAAAAACCACACTGTCTATAGTGGCCACCTATGTGTGTTTTAGAACCTGTCTAGAAAGGCCATTTGTCTAAGGTAGCCACGTGTTGTGTTTTCCGTGGATGGCGTTCATAGACAGGTTTGAATGCAGATTATTTAAAGGAGAGCTAAAAACAAAACGTATCATAGCGCTTCCAAGATCACAGGATTTGAAGAGAAACAAGAAATAAACATTATATGCGTGGAATCATGAAATAAATAAATCTCAGTTATACCAATGAGAGAAGACGTGTGTTAGAAGAAGTATTTTGAAAGTGGCAAGGCAATTTATTTCTCTAAGGCACAGTGGGATGTTGTGCCACGTTTTAGTTGCAGCCACTGTACCACGTTGCAGAGTGGTCGGTAGATGAAAGTCTAGATTTAGGAATAATTATTTCATTTGCCAGTTGATGAGCGAATATTTCGATCCGGTGTTTATATTAAGATGCCCCCAAAATACCAAGAACATTGTATTAAACAATACCATTAAAATATCCATATTTGAATGCGGATTATTATTATTTTTTGTTGGTTCGTACCGTTTTACCAGAGAATTTTGTGAGTTACTAATTTCCTCCCCTCTTACAAAGTATATATAATATAAGAATATTAAGACATTCGGTATACCGGAGGTGTCGTAGTACGGGGGTTGGGTATAGGGTATTTTAGGCCACATGTACTGACAAGATGGTCGAAATGTTTCCAGAAGATGGGCAAAGTTTTGTTGTCCAGAAATATTAAGAATTCAAATTCATGGGACATAAAGGGATCAATTTCTCTTATTCTTAAAATCTGTCATCACCACCCCCCCCCCAAAAGGAAGATCGCCACCCCATTTTGAGAAATGGGCCCTTGGATGCAATGAAACTTATCTTCCCTTTCTCCTTAAAACCAAGATACTCTGAACACATGTTATCCAGTATTATTAAAAACAATCTCCTATTTTTAGCTTGAACCAATGGGAATGAGCGACACCACGCCAAGCGTGTAAATAGACTGTTCGAGGAATCCACCAGGTCTTCGACAACTTCATCACACATAGCTATGTTAAGGTGACGTCACAATGCCATACCAACCGTCTGTTTCCGTCTACAAGATGGCGACGCCACAGCACAGGTTGACAAAAACAAAACACGATTAGGTCACGTGCGTACCTCTGACGTCATCGCTCACACATTCTCATCTTTTTATTTTGAAGCAATTGCAACTTTGTTCTTATGTTGTATATTAAAGCAGGCGCCCCTTTATTTTGGGGGATTATAACGCAAATGTGTCGAAGCCAATTTATTGATGACTACATAATGTTTATAAATAACATGATTCAATATTTGCACCATGCACTGATTTGGCCGCATTTCCTCCATGACCGACACAAATATAAATTGACATTTTGCTTAAGCAATACATGCCAAGTTCTGCAGCAAATAGCGATAAACGTTATAAACTAATATTAGGTTTATCGATGACATTCTATTTTGAGAGAATCTGGTTCAATACGTTGTATATCATGCGAAAGATGGGTCAATCGGACCACCAACACTTATACAAATTTCCTAAAACCTTTTGCAATCCATATTTACCGGGACGGACAATGTGTATGCGTCCATGTTGACAACCGTAAACAAACAAAAAAGTTTTCTACCCTACATATTTTCATTTGGCAAGTTGATTTGACTTTAGTCATTTTGTTTCCCATCAACACCGAAACTCAAATTCAAACATATACATTTTACCGACTTTATTTGATAAAAAGCTGTATTCATTTAAGTCTGCCTAAGTGGCCACCTCTCTACGAAGGCCACCTGTCTGTAGTGGCCATGCATTTTGCCTCCCTCGAGAATTAAAACAAAACGTGCGTTGTAGAACCTCCTGTCTACAGTGGCCAACTACTTTTTTGGTTTGTTTTGCGTGGCCGTGATAGACAAGTTTGGAAGGATGACATTAACCATGAGATATGAAGCAAAAGAACAATATAATGTAGTCAATTGGGGGAAGCCCCTCCCCATACTGAAAGAGATTGACACTTTTATCAGAAGGTAATGCTTGTATTAAAATTCATCTGTCAACTTGTACAAATTTGCACATAACGTTAGCGGTAAATGATGCAGGAAATGAAGTCAAACTCACCTGATCAAGTAGGTCTGCAGCAAACTGCTCACACTGGTCTGCCAGTTCCTGGAACTGATCGCAGAACTCGTATTTGGTCCTCATGAGCTTTCGCATCTTGGCACACAGCTCAAAGGTGGTGTTGAAGGGATCCGACGAAGTCAGGGAGATATAAGATTGACTGGCCAAGGCCTTGTAGAGATTGAGCATTCCTACAGAGTTCTCGAGGGTGTGGACCTCGCTTTGGTCCAGGTTCTCCCTGGGATCCTTGATCCTGGCTCCTGCCTCCAGGAGCGTCTTGATCGTGTCGAAGTTGTTGTGTTGAGCGGCCAGGACAAGCGGGGAGACGTCGGGGTGAAAATCACCGTTCAGCGCCTTGCAATTCAGCGCTTCCTACAATAGAGAAAGACAGACACATTTTAGGATCAGCATGATCTACGATTGCCAAATTTTGCCTGTATCGAAAGGACACACGACCTTCTTTTCACTAAATGTTTACCTCGTCTTTCGTCTTCTTTTCTTTCAAATGAACATGATTATATGCTTAATTCTTCATCTACCGCTTCATCATCTTCATCATTAATTTTTGATCATCAGTTTTACGATCACCATGATCATAATATAACATCAATATTAACATTATTATAATCATCATAATCATCATTATCATCATTGTCATATTCTTTATCATCAAAATAGTGACCATCAGTTTTACCACGATTATCTTCATCATCATCATTAACATCGCCACCATCATCACCATCATCATTAACATCATCATCATCGTCATCATCATCATCATCCTCATTTTTTGTTCCTCTACTCATCATCATCATCTCCACCACCACCAACACCAACAACAACAAAAACACCATCATCACCATCATCATGTTCATCATCATGTTCATCATCATCATCATCATCACCATCTCCACAATCATTAGTACAGCCACGACCACCACCATCATCTTCACCACCTCCATCATCATCATCACCATCATCATCTTCATCAAAACCACTACCACCAACATTATTAGCACCACCTCCCCCATCATCATCATTACGGACAAGTGGTCATCCGCTATCATCATCAGAATCAGAATCATCCTCATCACCATCCGCTTTCTGAATTATCATACTAATTAATGTAATACAAATTATTAGCCATACTCACTGGAATATTTTTCTTCTTTATATGATCGCATATGAGTCGTACACCTGGCGTGAATTGAGCATCTACAGCACGTAGTAAACTATCACCAAGCTGAATGTTATGATCCAATAATAACTTTACTATATCTGAAAAATAAGATACAAGAAATATCATTAATGTCAATTGATATTAATTAGAAAAATATCTATGATAAATTTGTATGAATTTATTTCAGCAAAAGTGCATATGAAAAAAATATCCTTATTTCATTTGAAATTCATTCAGGTGGACATGGTGGAAAGTGACCAGGTTTTGTATTACCTTTAAGAATTTAAAACAAGTGTTTGTTGGATTAAAAACACGACGTTTAAAGCCTATTAGTTTGGCCAGGAGGGATTATACCTCCCTGCATGGTCACTGACAGGTGGTTATCTCGTCAAATCAGCTTTCAATTGGCATAAGAAAAAGGGGACCATGGGGGACCAACGGTCACCGATTAGGCATTGTTTGCTACATAGAGGACGCAAGTAGATATAAGTAGTGCAGTGGGGCTTTAAAAGGTCATCATTCGCAATTGATGCTGACTGATAAAATGAAGAAAAGAATGTGAACACTAAATTTCTTATTTACCTGTGTTAACTGAATTCCTAGAGTCATACTCCGCGGAAACATTTGTATTCTATCTTTCCATTTCTCACTCTGATGCATGCATTTAAAATTCACGACCCTAACTTTTATCCCCGGCGTACAATCATGTGCGTTAATTAGGATTTCCCCTGTTAATACTGATATATCTACAGTGATATGGGAAAGGCGAGTTACATTTGTAGTTTAATTTCATATTAGCCTATTTGCGGGTCGCAAAAGGGGATTTGATGTCTACGCCATTTAAAGCCATACACGTATCTTATCAAATGCTTAATTATATACTAATCTGGCTGAATTCATGGATTTAGGTCTTTCTGTTGTCATATCTCATGATGTGGATGAAAATAGGATTGTTAATTAACCATGTAATCAAACGGGTAATTATTTTTTGTCGGAGGAATATGGGTCTAACTGGGTTACCGGGATAAACGACTCTCTGTGTGTCTGTGATCACTTATGACTTCGCCCCAGTATAGGAAATTGGATCTGATGGTCTATTTAAAGGTAAATATTCATGTAAAAGTGTACATTTAGATAAAATATGCAAATATTTTTATTAGGTGGGGGGGGGGGGGGGGGGGGGGTTATGAAGAGAGAACATATTGGCCGCGATAGCTTAGTCGGTAGAGCAGTGGTCTGGTAATCCGGTGACCCGGGTTCGAAACCAAGTCGATGCGCTAGTGCCATTTGGTAAGGCATTAATCCTCATTACCAGGTCCCTCGGACCTAAAGCCGTCGGCCGTCTGGTTGCTTACTTACAAGCATTTATGTTACGACCAATAAAAATAACCACCTTCAACCTTCAACACTATCACTTGGACTATCTATACAGGAAAATTTTGGCTAATAAAATTAGGCAATGGGATTGTCTTTTACAAAAGCAAATCAAATTTTGAACCATTGTAAAGTACTATACTTGGAAAATATAGGCCGAAACCGGACATGCGCAAATGAATTGGATCGATTAACAATGGTGCTACATCATATATGTCGGAAAGGTATTTATCACTAATGAATTGGGAGATTATTTAATAAAAACGTTTAGAAAGATTAAAGTATTATTAATTGGTGCGGTGATTGATCCAGGATATTCACATTGTCAAAGTAATACATGCAGATTAATTCTCAAATTGCTAGCTGTACAAGAGAAATATCGTAAAAACATAAAATAAAAAAACAATACTGGAACAAAATACGTGGATAAGGTGGACGTGTTAATGGGTCTTAATTGCCATTTGTATAACAATAGACCCACGTGCCTTAGATAATTTCAACTCTGCCCAATTGAATTCTATTTTGGTCATTTGTAATGGATTTTTTCTTCAAAACATGCCATGGATTTATGAAAGTGTGTTCGCCTTTCACGGATACAGAGATAAACTGTTCCAAAATTAAGTCCGTTTGATCTAATTTAGCCGCTCAGGCTGTATGCAGGCTTTAAATTGTAATGATTAATTACCGCGCCGGCCATTGAGGGATTTCTGATCATGCAATTACAATAATTCGCGAGGATTTGCATCGCAATAGATCATAGGGGGTACTGTAATTGATATTAAAAGGTATTTAATATATTCAGTGCTTTTGGCATTTCTATTTTGTGAGGGATAATGAATTGGAATAGGGTTATCAAACTTGTCCTTCGAACGATGCACTTTGCTAGACACATAAATAACTCGACGACGGCATATTAAGTATTCACTTATTATTCGACTCCTCCTCCTCCCAAATTGATCAATATTTCTTTTTCGTCATTCTTTCGAATTCCATCGGTTAATTTTTACAAACAGTAAATATCAAAATTCAACAAAGATGATCTTGTTCAGTGTAATTAACAATGCAACGTTGTGGAGATATTATACAAATACTTGTAGCTATTCGTTTTCGGTCTGTTTGTAGCTGTCTGTCCTTTGTGAACATAGACAGTTGTACATAACCTGCTACATGTAATAATGTTTGCACATCTTGTTTTAGGTAAACTGAACAACTTCATTATGTACCGATAACTCTATTGCTTGATTACCACTGTGTTTCAAAATGCATTGAATACTTTACACAAAAAATGTTGGGAAGAAATCGCCCCACATGGCGATTATTATGTGCCCGACCAGTTTAGAGCAATTTCATGTTCAACGTTAGTATAATGTTTTGCCAAATCACGATCAGCCTTTCCTACAAAGTGAGTAAAAAGCGCACCACGTTGGGCCTATAACTGCTTTAAATTTGGTCGAACTCATGCTTACCTTCATGTAGGACAATAACTCCAAACATTTTTGCAGGGCTACTTCTACTACTACTACTACTACTACTACTACTACTACTACTACTACTACTATACTACTACTATATACTACACAAACAACAACTACTATTACTACGTCTACTACTGCTGCTACTACTATACTACTTCTCTAGTACTACTAATACTACTTCTACTACTTCTACTTCTACTACTTCTACGAGTACTGTATATATAATAGTACACATGGCCAGTGCTACACTAGAATAATATACTACACTCTACAATAGTACTTCTCTTGCAAAAAATATCTAGACGAACAAACATGACTATTTACCTGAGTTTCCATTTTGTATTGCTACGACCAAAGCGGAGTTTCCATCGGCATCCGTGCAATTGACGTTGAGGTCTGGGGCGTTTTCGAGGGCGAAGATAATGGCCTTTCGGTCGCCCCTCTCCGTTGCTTGAAGGAAGAGCGATTCGACCGAGTTCTCTGGCATCCGGGACATCTTGAAAGTTGGACTCCCTTTCTGTTGGAAAAAAAAAGAGAAATGAAATATGAGTAAATGAAAATAATAAACATCCTAAAAAAAGAAAATATAGTTACTGTTATCCATTTCAAATAGTAAAAACCAAATAGCATACAAATTGAGGTGATGTAAATGGGTACCTGGCAGGAATTAATTCCTTGAAATGCTAGAGCGCCTTAATGGCAGCCGTGCTAAAGCCAGGGTTATAACCGGGAGCGCCAGGAGTGTCAAGTCTGACAGATGAGCGCTATACAAGAACCCACCATTATTATTATTATTAGTCGGTAATCGTGACAGGGATATTATGGGTTTATATCAAATCTGTTCAAAAGAAAAAATCTGGAAGGAGCGGGAGTTACAGTGAACAATTCTTGTTGAGAGCCAGATAGGCGTTTCCTTGTATCATTTAACACAGGAATAACACTTTTATAGCTCTCAACAGGCTAAAATACAAATGAATACATATATACATTTGAACGAATTATTACTGAGCTACTAAACACGTATTAGTTGGACACGTGTTAGACCTTTTGAAATACCAACCAGTTGTATCGTTTATTACAAATGGAAGGTAGAGATTATGTGTGTTTTTTGTATCACAGTATCACATGGAATTGAATATCACAATAGTTTTATCATGTTTATTTTGACTTAAATGCATGCCGGTAGTAGCCCGAAACATTATTATGGTGAAGAAACTATTTGTTGTAAATTTGACGAATGACGATGATTATATTTTGGAGAGTTCCAACTTACAGACATACAGGAAAGATCTATACGAAACAATAACAAAATCAACGGGAGAAAATCAAGCAAGAGCAAGAAAGATCTATTTGATGGGTTTAAGATTTGACTTGAAAATATTTTGACTCCTGAGTAAAACATAGCAGGTTAGGATTAAGTGATATATATATATATCCTACCAAATTTTCATTTAAATTACCATCACGTCTCTAATCCCAATCTTTGGGAATATTATGAAGAGTGTATTGTTCTAATTTGCCAACCATGTATTCAGTAAATAGATTTAACTAAGGTAAGTCTACCTTAAGCTTAATTATTATGGCATTCCATGTGTCATATTGTTTGGTCGATCAGCTTACCGTCGATAAATAGCCACGTCGAGTTTTTGTTAATTGTTTACATGGAGCTATTCCCATTGCTTTCATTCCATCAATTACCGGCTTGCTACTATAGAGATCACACAGAGGGCATGTTTATCATTTATTTCTAGGAAAGTCAGAATAATTCTCAATTAACTTTACTTCACTTTACGGTGATAGAAAGGGTCAGGATTGTCATGCCGAGCGGTAAAATAGAGAGCTTTTATCTTTACGTAGATTCAGACTATGTTTAAAAAATAAAAACAAAGTATACACAAATAAGAAGGAAAGAAAGAGGCCTTCTCTTTTCCCTCAGTTATTCCTTAGAAATACAACACAATGTATTGAACCCTCTTAAATCATATTGTACCATAGTAATTTAAAATTCGTCGGTAATGATAGCTACATCTCCAATCAATTTTCCTGCAAAAAATAAACCGGGTGGGTACCACAAAATATGAATTTCAACTCATATTTTTCCACTTCTTTTCTCAAGAAAAACAGTTCTAAATAAACTGAAATTACGTGTCGAAGTAATTTGAAATCTATTTTTTGTGTGGAAATATTAAGATACCGATTGTTGTGATTTCGTTGCTCCTTTGTCGTCATCTCCTGGTGTTTCGGTAGATCCGGGTATAAATCCCATCATAATATCCAAAGGAGTGAGTTCATTCTGAAGTAGGAGCGGACTGGAGTTATTCGGTATGTCCATTGGGTTGACAACGGTCTCTGTGGTGTTGAGGACACCGCCTCTACGGTCACTGTCACGACTGGTTTCCATGGCTGACGGTGATGTCTTACACAAGGAATTATCCACAGAAAAGGAAGAAGTATATCCTGGTAAATATTTGTCAGTATCTCCCTCACTCTATCTCTCCCTGTTTCTATATCTATCTGCGAGTATGTCAGTTGTCAGCTAGCAGAGTATATTGGGGGATGGGGCTTGCACTGTTTATCATCAATACATCTTTCATATTGATCTTCCTGGAGATACGGAACCGTTGGTGAATCGAGCCAGTCATTTTGAGTAAGACGTTACGTTTGCAAACGCTCTGCTTTGGTCAACTTCCCCTCTCCCCTTTCAAACAGAGAGCTAGGGTCAACGTACGATGTAGATGCAAACTCAGGATGGTAGAAAAACCAGGGAGATTTATTTCTGTCAAAGATTTATCCAAGAAGGGTGAACATTGGAGCATCAGAGAAGGTATGCACAGGTATGTGAGAATTATCACTCAGCCTAATGCTACTTCTTTGTAAAGGCGATGAACAAACAAAATATAATCGAATAGAAACAACCTCAGAGACGTTTTTTTCCAGACAAAAACAGGGAACTTGTGCTCAGGTATGAACCATTGAGGAGGAATATGTCAATTGAATGTTGATGTTCCGGTACATTTCCAAGCTTTTTGGTGATGCATGTAGTCAATCCGTCAATCTATAATGCTTCTTCGACCAAAAGGTAAATCAAAAGTCCATTTACTCTAAAAAGACAAAGCGAAAACATTGGCCATCGTAAGAGGATAAGTACTCCCCAGCTCTGCTCAAATGGAACGTAGAACCATGAGTAAATCAAATCCAACTACATTATCTCATCTTCTTCACCATCATTTTGTCAGTCTCTCTCTGTCTCTCTCTCTTCGGTCTTTGGTTGGAAGTTTACCAAAGGCAGGTGGGCCAATCGGCATGGGGACGCAAATCGGCAACCCGACACAATGTCATCGATATAACGCTTAGTGTTCTTGGTTCAATCAATAAGTAAACGTCACATGTGTACACACAAGGTCTGAAGTGAGGCACCTGGCAAGGATGCTTATGTTTCGACGCCGATCAACGAAGGAAGAAAAAACTTGTCAAAAATGTGTAAGTAACTGATGATGGAGTTCTGAGAATAAGCTTCTTGGCTCGCACCCAACGGAGGATAGATGGAATTTGATTCAATTAGCCTGCTTTTTAAGAGCAAAATGTGTAGAAAATAGCAAGAATATACGTTTCCTTGAGTAACAAAGCTACCAAGGTCAGCAGAGGGCAAGGTCAAGTGTCCAGCGATTTCCACTTTGATGACGAAATAACGCCTCTCAATCGGGACTGACCAACCGGCGACTAGAAAATATTTCTCCAGTCAATTGGAAAATGGTCGTTGTTTCCGGTGAATCTTGATTTCCAGCCCTTCAATCACTCTGAAATGCTTCCGATCGCTCCGATTTGCTTTGTGATGTTGATTTTCCAGCTTTGTCAGGAGTAAAAAGAGGCCGTTGTCTTGCAAAGAATCAACTAATCGTGTTCACATGAATGAGGCATTGAATCGTATAAATGATGAGCAATATGTGCAGTTAATCCTCGAAGGTAAACAAACAAAATTACGAAAGGTGTCAATATGTAGCACGAATAAGAATACAATCAGAGAAAATATTGTATCGTAAAGATGGACCGCCGGTCAGATTCGAAATGAAAATATAAGTGGAAGATGCAACAGTCGCGATCCTAAGGTCTGGGAGCGTATGAGGTCAACACGTATGTGATTCCAGCTTGAAAGCATAGGTGAACGGATGCAGATACATTCATTCAATTCCTCAGCTTTGATTTTTTCTCTCTCTCCACCAGTCCCTGATAGTGATCGGCTACCACCAAATTAATCCAGGAGGTACCCCCAACACGCCAACCACTTTACCGGTCACGAATCTATTCGCAACTCGCTAAACAAGTTGACGAAAAACACAAATTAAAACCAACCAGCAACCGCGGAGGCATGCCACCGTCTCTATCCAATGTTTAATTAATTACTTCAATCGAATTCGCTCGTTTTTCCCCCACTGTTTCTTTATCCTTTGGCATTAAAAGATTCGGATATATCAGTCGACATTTACTCCTCTTTACACCGCAAAGGATTTGCCCTTTCTGCTCTACTTTGCAGCAATCGTAATTCTTTGTTCGGTTGTGAAATAGCGACAAAAGAGAGCGCTCCGAATTTTGAAATGTCGCGAAAAATGATGAGCGGATAATAATTATGCAGTCGATAGGGTAGGTCATAAATTACCCGGCTCGATCGCGATCATATGGGCTGTACCGGAGGGAGGGGATCGGATGAGAAATGGCGGGAGAAAAAAAAAGATTATTGAGTTGTTCGATGTTAACACTGTCACGGGTGACCAATAATATATTGACAGGAAATCGATCGGATTTGATACTCCGTGACCAAGTCATTGCCAGTGTGAATATAAGGTCGTGTGGAGGGCATATTTATTTACATGATGACCGTTGGAGACAAAAATGGTCAAAGTTGGGGCGTGTCGTAATTGAAAATATCCAGTGCCGTATAGATTAATTATTATTAATCAAATTATGAGGTTGAGCTGGAAGGCATTCGGACACGATTTGTAAGTCGAATATATTTCTCCTTGGCTTTACCTGAATCGTTTAGTGTTTAGGTGTGCGTGTGGGTGTGTGAGTGTGCGTGTGCGTGATGAGTTTATGTGACTGTTTTTCAGAGAATAATGGGCGGACCCGTGGTTCAGTGGTTATCAACAAACGGTGAACCACGGGTAAATACAAAGCTTAAATCGTGCCTATGATCATGATGATACCCTATAACTTTAGAAACAACAAAAACATTTTTTTTCCTTCTTGTTGGTATATTTATTTTCTTGCGTTTGACCATTATTTTTCAAACTGTGTTGTTTGTTTCTCGTTTTCCTAATAAGTTCCCATTTCATCAGAATATCGTAACGTCATCCAGGCACCATTTTGTGACATTTTCTGTAAATCAACTCATCATGATCATATATTTATAACGGGAAATCATTTTTAATTTATACATATATAGATCAAAAACATCAACAACCAAACCTAAGGTAATATTTGGAACGAATTAGATATTGTTTTTGTATAACGAGGTT